AGGCCATCTTCTTGAGAAGTTTTTTCACATGTTCAGCAGCTTGCTTCATTGATGGTAGTTCCCTCCCCCGGACGTGTAAATGATCTCCCCTCCTCAAATGTACGGCAATATAGGGGCCTCCTATTGCCTTTCTCGAATCTTTCTGCCAAAGGTTTTTCAAATTTTAATATTCTTACCCTTGTCAAATTTCCTTCACCTGAATTAGCAGTAGTAATCTTTAAAAATATTTTATCAGTTGGTATCAGTTCTTGAAAAGAAACAATATCTGCAAATTTTTTTCCATTTTAGACATTAAGTCATTGTTTATAGTAAGTTTTACAAATGCAGTACAAAGTTAACTTTGACAAAATGACACAGTCAATGTCATAGGAATTATGTTCTTTTATTGAGAAATCATGACTGCACAGTTTATACCTGAAGAGCAGCCCAGTCTTTCAGAACTGTTTTATCAGCCTCGTCTTCAGAATCAAGGTGTTCTTTACGAAACAGATCGCCGACATCACGTAAAGGTTTGGCGTACACCATGCTTCTTCTGGCCTGTCCGTTTGAAGAGAATTGAAAGATAAAGATGCATTACTTAAACCGATTCTTCGTATTCACATCTTTTTTACAGATGATTAAGAAAAGTGCTTAGCATGTTTCTCTATTCATTGTTTTTCATAAATAGTGCTTTACATTATCATACCTTCCAGAAAAGAGCGTTATGTTCACCATAATCCGCATGTAGTAGATTTTCGGCCCGTGGAGTGAAGACAAATCTACAACGAAACAATTGAATGGAGGGTTTAAGTAAATGCAATGCAAATAAGACATATTATAATTTCTGCTATTGAAGAGGTTTAACAACACATATAGATGTGCCTACTTTCCTGTCGTATTCCCAATGAGGAATGACTTCATTAGGTCCAGCTGACCAAAGAAAGACAGACAAGTGAACTTTTCTGCATACACCTCCTCGAAGCCGAAGTACATGTGTCGCCATTTACCATCTGAATCCTGTAGTATGAGATGAAATATACCTCAAAGGAGAAAGCAATTGAATAATAAAGAAAGCTAGATCGAGGAAAGAGTTATATAGTTTTTTTTTTTACTTTCAATGTCAAAAAGCTATACACAGGTACATGATAGTGTTTGGAATAACGATTTCTTACAGACGAATAAAGGTTTCAAAGGGAAGGATTTACCTGTAGAAACCTAGTGTCTGTCTGACAGTCCTCTATTTTTATTGTCTCCCAGTCCGTTATTTCTTTTACTCCTTGAAGGTAGTACACTTCATCTATTACTTGCTTACCTAAGAAGGAGAAACAATTTTAAAAAGTCTCCCCTCTCCGAGTTTATGAAGAATTCGAAGAATGTGATCAATAAAAAAATGGTGCTGAGTTTTGAAGATGGCTTAATTACGTTTAAGATAATCTTCGAATTCAATCACTGGCACATGTTTTCCTAGGCTTTCTATGTCAAAGAAAGTGGACCATTTCAGTCTTTCCTGCTCCACATCACGTGACCTCCAATGCCACATCCGATTCCACGGAGGAAGAACGAGAACCCAGGGTTCCTCTTGATTCATGAGGTACACCAGATTGGCCACCCTCATGTACACGTCCCTCCGGAGATTGAATCCCTCACCGGGGTTAACATCGTAGAGCAGAAATCTAAATCAGCATAAAAACGAGTATCAAAAAATAAATTTTAAAAGTATAAACGTTTCTTGACATTTAGAAAATTATATGCATGCAGTTCATTATCGGCAAAGGATACTTGCCTTTTATTTTCAAAGAAATTGCTCAAAAATCATGTATGTAAATTGTGAAAATGAATCACTTGTTTAATTGCATTGGGAAAATACATGTTAATTGTGTATTCAGTTACTTAATATTGCTTTGATATAATGTTGAGAATACTTTGCACTTTAATCCATTCCCATTCATCCATCTCATATCCAAGGGCAGATCACTCTAAATGCATACAACTACCCTACAATTAGAGCTCTTTAGTGTGCAGTGTATTTAGAGCTTCCTTAACTCTCTTTCAGATACCTCAAACTACACAGAAGAACATTGCAGATACTCTTACAAAAATGTAAAATCATAAATTGACAACGATACCTTGCATTTTCTTTGATGTCATATTTGTTCTTTCCTGCACAACTTTTCTCTTTCTTGATCTCGCAATAGATTGGGCAGCATAGAATAGAAAAGCTTAGGAAACACGTCAACAAATATCTTGGCACCATTGTGGGAGGTTTAATGCAACGTGTACTTAGATTTTCTCTTTTTAAATCTACCAGCGGATTAACAAGTTAAAAAAATAATCCTCAGTGGACCAAAATTATATGGCGATTTTACGGTCAAGGAATTACTTTTATTTCATATGTTCATGTACGCTACATAGTACCTCCCTCCTCCTCGGAAATCGTGTTAAAAATTTTGGTACATTGGTACTCCCTAGGGCATAGATGGTTGACCTCTATCGATTTCTTGTTTACAAGGTCAAAAGTCAAACTTCAGAAGATACATGTATCTGTACGTTCAACATCTTGAAATGGAAAAAAATGCATGACATGCAGATATCAAACTTGGTAATCCGGTTCCCCCATAAAAGTATAGATGACCCTTATTGATTTTTTAGGTTACAAGGTCAGGGGCCAAATTACTGGTCATGTCATGGGAGATTTTTTATTGCAATGTCAAGGGTCAAATTGAAGAAATGGTTTGCAAAGTATTACAAAAACGGTTTTCAAATTAAGAAATGCGCAGATGGGATGTGTGAAAATTGTCTTGGAAAAGGATAATCTAATACTGAAATGCTGGTGAAATTCATCTAAAAAAATATTTTTCTATATCTTCTGTATCATTTTATGTTGTTTAACGTCCCTCTCGAGAATTTTCCACTCATGGAGACGCCACCACTTGCCGGTGGAGAGCTACAAATACTCGGCAGTTACGGCCACTGAGCAGTGAAGGATCTTTTTCGTGCCAGCACCTACTGCGACAAAGGATCTCATTTTAATTAAATGGTTTCATCCGAAGAACCGGTCTCTGCGTATCACAATGGGATTCGAACCCGTGACGTAAGGATTAACTCCTTACTCCGCGAGCAGACAATCTAACCACTGCGCCACAAGGGCGACTTTGTATCATTGTAAGTCACTCCCAAACACTGAGAAAGGAAGATAACTCTAGTATATATAAAGGTTAACAGAGTGTACACAATTTGAATGCCCTCTAAATGCAAAAATAAATCCGTAAAAGCTTTATTCTGCACTGTAACCTTCAATATCAAACATAAATGTTTAATCATAATTCATTTTAATAAATATATTAATTGAAACTTACCCGTCAGTAAAAACACTAAATCATACAGACTGAACATTTTTAATGAAGTTTCATACTATACTTTACCCAAGGTAAAAAGTTGTGACCAAATATAAACAAAAAAATAAATTAGTACACCTTGTACCCTGTGCCATGAGATTTACAGAACGGAAGACGAATGACAACATACTGGTTATCAGGTAGTACACATACACAGTTAAACTGAGAAGACATGGTTAGCAAGGGGTGCATGTATAATTATAAAGTTTATTTAAAATAATTCATTAACCCTTTTCCCTCCATATGACTAGTATGACATTTTAAGACATAACATTACATGTATGAATTGCAGATCATGAACTGTTATTGGTGGTTTGGCAGTGAAACTGACAATACATGTAATGAAGTAATGATTGTAGTTAAACATGAAATTTACTTGACAATTTTCCATTTTCTTGATATTGATGATGACATGTACAAAATATTGAACAAGTATAACTCAGCAAAAACTCAACTAACAGCCACTAAACATGAAATATCACATTACATAAATTTTGCATAGATATAAACTGTATAATATAATTGTCATTATTTTGGTCCATAATTTAGCCACTGAACAATCATAGGATAATTAATTTAAAAAATTGTAGCTTCAGAATTAGGACACACAGTCATTTGTTTAACAAGAGGCCCAGGGGCAACAGCGCTCACCTGAGCACATCAGCTAGGAAAAACCACATTTGATTTGGACAAATTAGGACACACAGGATAATTCTACATAAATATTACTAATCATGGCTTTGAAGTACTTGAAAAGAAGATTTTAAAAGGTTTCCCTTTATATTCCTATGAGAATTAATTTTTGGTCAGCCATTTTGGTCCCATCCTACCCCCTGGGGATCATGATTTGAACAAACTTGAATCTATACACTACTTGAGGATGATTCCACATGAGTTTCATTTTTCCTGGCCCAGTGATTCTTGAGAAGAAGATTTTTAAAGATTTTTCCTATATATTCCTCAGCCAAAAAGATTTCAAAACAATACTTTTGGCCCTGTGTTCTTGAGAAGAAGATTTTTAAAGTACATGTACATGCTGGAATCTACACTATCTGAGGATGATTCCACCCGAGTTTCATCTTTCCTGGCCCAGTGGTTCTTGAGAAGAAGATTTTTAAAGATTCTTCCTATATATTCCTATGTAAAACTTTGATCGGCCATTTTGGCCCCACCCTACCCCAGGGGGTCATGATATGAACAAACTTGAATCTACACTATCTGAGGATGATTCTACATGAGTTTCATCTTGAGAAGAAGATTTTTAAAGATTTTTCCTATATTTCCTATGTAAAACTTTGATCGGCCATTTTGGCCCCACCCTACCCCTGGGGGTCATGATATGAACAAAATTGAATCTACATTACCTGAGGATGATTCCACATAAGTTTCATCTTTCCTGGTACAGTCATTCTTGAGAAGAAGATTTTTTAAAAATGGCATTAATTTTTCTCAAATAAAAAAAATAATTATCTCCCCTAAAACATATAAAACAAAATCCCCTTTAAAGCTTTGTGCAATTATTTGAGAAGAAATGAAAATGTAAAAATACACGACGACGACAATGACAACAACGACTACAACGACAAAAGACCTATAAAATATCAGATACAGTACACTCATACAAAATAACTTCCATTCCATTCTTTAACACTAAAAAGATTTCAAAACAATATTCTGTGTTCATGTACATGTACATGCTGGAATTCATGAGATCATATATTTTCATGAGTCAAAAAATCAAATTGTCTAAAATATAAAAAACAAACTTAAAACTTTGATTATTTAAATATACATTTTAAAAGACCTAAGATATCTAATATACTATTTTCCACTTTGAAGGTCCCTCACAATCTGAATCATTATCTGGACAGAATCTATTGAAGGTTGTTTCAGGGTCAAATCCTAATATTTCCCGCTCTTCTTGTATTCGAAAAGAAAAGGTGGACTCGTAGCTTCCAATAAAATACCTGAAAAATAAATTGTTACAGCATCTATATAATCTAAAGATAATACTTATGCATATTTCAGCTTCTTTAAAAAGAGATTTCCAAACAATCTTTTTTATAAATAATGTAAAAGCACAAATACTCGTGGGGGAATAAATTTTGTTTATTTCGTTGTTTACAATATTATCAATGAAATTAAATCCCACACAAAATTTTATATGCCTATATATTGAATAGAGTAACTTTCAGAACAACAAAATTAAATGCCCACGAAACTATTTTTGATGACAAATCAATGAAATTTTATCCCCATGAAAATTTGTGCTTATACAGTAATTGTTTCCAGTACAATGAATACCTGGCATGGGCTGCAATCCATTGGTCTATAATTGCTATACCTCCATCTTTGTATTTTTCCTTGATTTCTTTTGAAGGTATAAATCGATAAACTTTGGATTTCTTAAAATAGCTTTGAAATTCTTCAAACTCTGTATAAAGAATGAAATTTTTCTTTCAATAACCATATTGAATTAAGAATTTATGAGACTAATTTATTTAATAAGAACTGTACATGTCCTACTTTACCAGTATAGAGGGAATTTTTTGGTCACTTTTGAAATGAGTTATATAAAACAGTGTACTACTAAGCAAGGTTTGATTGTAAATTTCAAAGAATCTTTGTCACTGTACTTTATGTTACAGTGCAAAAATTTATTTAAATCTTGCCTTCACTTGGTGCATCTGTTGCTACAAAGACTTTTTTCAGTTTGTATTCTTTGAGGATCTTCTTCACTTGTTTGGCAGCCCCTTTTAGAGAGGGTAGATTCCCTTCTCTGGCATACAGGTAATCCATCCTCCTGAGATGTACCCCCACGTAAGGACCCCCTAAGGCATCCCCATGCTTTCTCTGAATAAAAAAAAATACAGTTTAAAGTTGCTTGGAAATTCATTAAGGTAAGTAGTAAGTAGGTAAGTATAAATCTGATCTGACACACAAAACATAATTTAAACCTGCACCATCTATAGAAACTGTTTTATAATGAAACATGGATTTATCATATTTGGTTGCATATTGAAGAGAAAATGTCTGTTTCTGTATTATTTTAGTAGTCTTCAGTACAATTACATGTATAATGTAATTTCAATCACACATACAGTGAAATATCATTACTTTTTGTATTATATAATAGTACAATGATAAATTTATTGTTTTTGAGTTTTGACCTTCATTTTTGTCCAGTCCTCCAGCACTGTTTTATCATCCTCATCCGTGGAATCCAGGTTTTCTCTTCGGAATTCATCCCCAATATCTCTCAAATGTTTCGCAAAAACCATGCTCCTTCTAGCCTGATTGTGTAAGAAGAATAACTCATGTAAGTTTGACTGATACATTAACATTTCATTAATTCGTATGTATGTAATATGATTGCATATGAGAAATAATGTTTAAAGACCGAGTATTTTTTTTTAGTGAAAAAAAATTAGAGTTTAACTATGCTTTCACTGTATACACTAACTTAACTTATAAATTCACATTTATTTGTTTTTTTTTCATTTCCTTCAATGAATACAAAATAAAATATATATATCATTCCCCATTCTTCAATTAATAAAGCATAATGTATATTTTATTTTATGTACTTGTATTTCTTAATTAAGAATACTCTTAATTAAACTTCCAACACCCAGACGTGAAGAGGTGATACAGCTAGTGTGTTAAACAGTTAAATATTGAACAGCAGGTCAGGACGGAGTATAGGAGTGTCAAACACTGTTAGTATTTGGAGCTTTCAAAGGCAACTTAAAATAATATGAGGAAGTACACCTGAAAATTACGAGATAAATTTTGTGTGTATATTCCATGTAAACACTCTTCACACGTGAATTCACCATGAGAGGACACACCCACTTACACTCCAGTAAAGGGAGCTGTGCTCTCCATACATGCCATGAGTCATTCTCTCTGATCTTTCTATGCAAATTGCACTAGTTAACAAAAAAACTCTTGATTAGAATTTAATAACAAGTTATTGATTCATAATCATTACAATTGTATAATTTTGTATATTCTTCAACCTCATAAAACTGGAAGACACCACACATGTTTATATAGTGTTGTTTGGAGGAAATTTATCTTGGCTATTTGCATGAATTAAAATACATGTATAGTGAAGATCATAAAAATTCCTTATATATACAGGTAAATCAACACAAAAAGCAATTACTTTTTGCAAATGTATGTTAATTGAAAATTTTTAGGATGCATTTAAACATTTGCATTAATTTAAAAGAGAGATAACTTAAGATCATAAAAAGTCCTAATTAAGGCTACTGTCAACACAAAAAGCAATGTATATTGAAGCAAATAATCTGAAAATGGTCTGATTGATCAAACTGAAAATTGCATTAATTTACAGAAGAGAGGCTTGGAAAATGGGCAGTACTCACTCTCCAATAGCCAGTGTCCCCAAAATGATCGTGTAAAAGGGTTTCTGCCCGGGGCAGCATTATACACCTAAAATTTTCAAATGGCACATCAATTAGATGTTTTAAGTTGAGAAAAAAATATTGATTCAATGTTCAATAAGTCAATTCTATGAAAGTTTGATGTGTTTTGAATGTACATCTATTTCCCATGCAACTGCAAATAAATTTAGGCCATGCAAAATTAATTCCTTGGTTCTCAGGCCTTTTTTCAAGAAATATGATGAGGGAGGGAGGCATTTTTTTTTTACTTAAAATTGCCCCCAAAACATGATGAGGCAGCTTTTTACATTGTACAAAAAAAAAATGATGAGGGAGGTGATTTGTTGTTTTTATTTTATTGATTTAGCAATAAAAAGGGTCAATGGTGTTTTTTGAATTAATATCCATGCAACACCAAAAACAATTATCAAACATTTTATTAAAACATGTGAGGTGTCTTGAACCCTAATATTTAATAATGTTCTTCTGTGTACAGTTATCATTTAGCACCTCATTCCCAACACACACCCTATACCCAGATTGTATATAACCAACTTCTATGATTTGTAAAGGGGGAAATATATATATAAAAAAAAAGAGAGAGTAATAATCCATTGATATAAATTACCCTTCAAAAATCCATATTTACATGTTTACAGTACAATGTACCCAGAATTGTAGTTGTTAAAAACTACTAAAAATTACCTTCCAGTAGTGTTCTTCAGTAAGAATGGCTTTATAAATGTAGCATGTCCCATGTATGACACACAAGCAAATTTCTTAGCATACACTTCTTCATATCCAAAGAACCAGTGATGCCAATTACCTTCTTCATCCTGAAAAGGCATCAAGTGAAAAATGTCAAAAAAGATATTTCTTAACCTATAATGAAACAAACAGAGCTTAATTATAGTTCAATTTCTCTGTAAAAATAGAAATTTTACAAACATTGAACAACTTTAGGATATCCTTAAGCAATACAACGACAAACTAAGAAATCAAGAGAAATATATAACATAATATATAATTATAAGTTATCTCTCATGCAACTTGCCTGCACAAATCCAGTTCTATCATTACACTCAGTGATATTCATTTTTTCCTCCCATTTTGTCCATCCCCCTTTGAAACTCTGTAAGTAGTATACTTCATCTATCACCGGCTCTCCTCTCACTGTTGGCATGGAAAGATCACAGGGGTAAAATATAATTTTTTTTAATATGAAGTATTTAATATGTATATGTATTAACATCAATCATAAATCAAGATAATGTCTCATATATATCAACATTTATTTATAAATCAAGATTTGTCTCTATATCTGTAATTCATTATATCCATATAAGGAATTCACAAAATTTTTATTGCTGGAGATTCAAAAGAACTTTGCTTATCCTAGAATTTGCAATATCCTTGTTTGTACTAAATGAGTTTTGCTGTAATAATTCATTGCACATAAAATTTATCTTCTTCTTTAATCTAAATAAATAAATTTACAAGGTATATACAGTGCTTTGAAAGAGTAAAACTATTTTTCTAAATTTTAATCTGACATTGCATGCATCCTAATTAACTTAGTTACACAATATAATACATATACATGTCTAATACATGGAAACACAAAAAATTTTAAACTCAGTGTATATGTTTTGGTAGAATCATGATTACCCTTGAGATATTCCTCAAATTCAATTACTGGTACATGCTGGCGCAAACTGGGAAGATCAAAGAATGTTGACCATGGGATTTTAATCTGCTCTAACTCTGGGGACTTCCAATGGTACAACCTCCCCCAGGGTGGCAGGACCAGCACCCACGGCTCCTCCTTGTTCAACTCATGGACAAGTGTTGTCACCCTCATGTACACATCCCGCCGCAGGTTAAACCCCTCCCCTGGGTTGACATCATACAGCAGATACCTTCAAAGTATAATGCTCTCATAGAGTTCAACTCATACAGCAGAAGAAGAAAGTGAGATGTTCTATATATAAACTTTTGTTTCATAGAAATTATCAAACTGAATTAATTATTTCTATAGTAGGTAATTGGTATGCTCTAATAATTTTAGATTTCTTATGTATGTGGTAGGTGGAGCACTTGATATTGAATTGGAACATTTGTTTCAAAGTGTCAGGGGAAGTCAAAATTGTCACTGGTTCAAAAAAATACATTGCCTCAGATTAAAAACATGAATGTTCCAAGACATGAAGAGAAATGTTCAACAGGTCCAGGAAAATCACTATATTTAGCTATATAGCTTAATTTACCTATATAGCTTTATTTACCTATATAATATAGCTTTATTTAGCTATTTTAGAATAAGTTTCTGTTTTATGAAAAGCAGACAAAAAGTCGCATGAAAATTAGGCCTTATGGCTGATATTTTTTCATAAAGGTTTGATAAAAACAATCTAGGGCATAGATAGTAAAAACATTGCCTCTTTTAATCACTTTTTAACCAAAAAATGCATCTCTATTGTTTGGATAGCTGTCCCTCACTGGAAGTGCAATGAGGCATGAGTGTGATCGCCTTGCATTGTGCTGAATTATTACCAATTAATTATCTTGTTGACCAAAACTTTTTTCTTTGTTAAAGTAGTGCTTAATCACAGATTAACTGTTAACATAGCCCCAAAACTCTTAGATCTTTGATTGCAATTGCACAAAAGGAGAAACATTTTTAAAAGTGGGTTTTTTGGTGAACTGTTTTCAGTCCATTTCAAAGTCAAAAACTAATACTGCCTCATTATGCGACTTTTTTTCATAAACAAAAATTTACTCTGAAATAGCTGAATAAAGCTATATTATATAGGTAAATAAAGCTATATAGGTAAATTAATCTATATAGCTAAATATAGTGATTTTCCTGGACCTGTTCAACAATGATCCACCTACTCCTAGTCAGCTGCTAACACGAAAATAATGGTTCTATAATCTGTACATTTAGGTTACAAGTGTATATGAATGACTTGTATTCTCAACCGATTGAAATTCCTAAAAAGGTAGTTGCATAAGATCAAGAGGATCAATCCCAGTGGGCACTTATCGTTTGGGACAATGTCGTACAATGTCGACGTGGCTTTTACATATTTGGTTTGCAAAATTCTGTAACAAACCTAACAGCCTTTGCCTGTCCAATTTTCATGGAATCATCTCCTCCTGTTTGATATGCTATATCATCGTCTGTATCAGTGCGTACAAGACTACATAAACACACAATTAATGTAAGGATCAAGTTTGCAGCTTCTTTCGTCTCCATGATACACTAATATCTGAACCCCGAACCCGACGCAAATCCTTATTGTGTTAAAATTAATGGTAAATTTTAAAGTTAAATTTTAACGATTTAGTTCTAATGGTTTAGTTTCATGAAACAAAATCAAAATTACCAACATTGATGTTTATTAAATATTAGCAAGCCGCCAACAGAGGTTTTATATTAAAATGGGAAAAATTTGTTAAAGTATAAATCGAGGATTAAAATTACTTTTTTTCGGAAATTAAAGGGGCTGGGGGTTTGTAGCCATTTTCAGACTGTTTTGACCTCCTTTAGAAGAAAAAGATCGATCCATATAAAGATATATAAAAATGATCAAATTTCAAAATTAAAATACACATGATTTTTTTTTTTTGGCCAATATTATTTGTTTACAGCTTGAGATATCATTTCTAAAAATTAAAGTTAAATCTGGTGGCTAATTTATTGACCCCAGCCTCCTTAATTTATGCCTTACCATATTGTGAGGAAAAGTTTCACACAGTTAATAAAAAGAGTCAGAATTTATTATATTTATGTTACAGATTATTAAAATGAGGTTAATTTATATTTATAAAATAATATAACATTTATTTTAAAAAATATTCAAATAATTCAAATGAAAACACATAATTACTGAAACTAATGCTTAGAGTATCACATATTTTTCATCACTACCGATTTTTCTCTCATCTACCTCTTTCTGTTTCATCTCCATCTCTCTGTTTTATCTCCCTGTCTCTCTCATCTTCCTCTCTTTAATCTCTCTCTTTCTCTTCTACATGTATCTCCTCTCCTATCTGCCTCTCTCATCTGCCTACCACTCTCCCACCTCATCTCCCCCTCTCTCTCCTATATCTCCCTCTCTCTATCTCAATAATGACTTAAATATATTAATTTTAATTTTCACGTTTATGATTTTTTTTCTTACAACTTTTCTCCTTTTCCCCTTTCACATCAAAAAAAAAAAAAAAAAAATATATATATATATATATATATATATATATATATATATATATATATATATATATATATATATATATATATATATATATATATATATATATATAAATCTTAAGCAATAACACATACATGTATGTAATTGCAGAAGTGTATGAAAGAGGAACGAACTACAACTCAGCATGGGAGACTGAGAACGATGAGTAATCAAAACTAAAGTGAAAGTAAATAAGATACCTATTGTCTTGGGGGCCGTTGTTATTTCATAAATAGTTTGAATAGGTGATATCACCTATTCGAAAAAGTGATGTCACCTATTCAAAATGATATGGTGATATCACCTATTCGAATAAGTGATATCACCTATTTAATTTGAATAGGTGATATCACTTATTCGAACATATTCGAATAAGTGAGATCACCTTTTCAAATAGGTGATATCACCATACTCAAATCAAATTCGTCAGATATCACTTATTCGAATAGGTGATATCACCAACTGAGTAGGTGATGTCACGTTTTGGCAGTAAATACCAAAACGGCACCTCATAATTTATTCCGATAACTCATCATAGTCCAGTAACGATGGACGCTCAATTGGTAACATCTGACACTTCATAATTATATTTTTCGTCATAGCGGTGATTTGTAATTACAAATGTACATTTACAACCCAACAAGCTAAATGTCTTAAAAATTATATATCCGCAAAAATGGGAGCTAGGGCTCACGTCAGGATTTTTGACATAACGTATAAAACATGATATTTGCAGGATTGTTTCAATTAATAGTTCCGGATTGATTCAGTTAATATATTTATCAAAACTCAGACATAAGCATAGAAACTGAACTATGATGAATTAAAAAAAAAAACCGCACTATTTCTCGTATTTATCGCTGTGATATACATGAGCCAACGACAGAGGTGAATGTATCAGCCGATGTAAAGAGTGCATCGTTCTATGAGACAATTGATTACAGTTTTGCTTAATTAAGCAACCCAAATAGAGCTTGTAGTTTGTTTTGCTCACAACTTAATTAATTTCACTTATCTATCATGTATACTAATAGAAAAATCGTGAAAAACGCATGAAAACTGGGTAGTCCAAATTTTCTCGGTTAGTCCAAATTTTCTTGGTTCCAGTGGTAATCTACAGCTCAACAAACTTGTTAATCTCACATGGTTTTTCGCACAAATTAAGGTCACATTTTTGTAATAAAAAATACAATTTTTGAACTGCAGTTCAATAAAATATCCCTTCATTATATTACATATGTAATGTCAAGCATAGATGTCTTTTAAAATTATTATCTTCAGTTTCCAAAGTGGATGTTTTAAAGGGGAAATTAGAAATAAATGGTAGGATGTTTCGACTATACGATTCTACCATAGGTTTTTACAAATCGTATAAAACGAGCTTTCTTTGATACCATGTAGTTGAAAATTTTAAATTTTCTTCTTCAAGGTAAGTTTTTTTTTAAAAAATCTATGCTCATTTACTATACTCTTCTTGGTTTTGTCGAAATGTAGCGCCAATAAGGGATAATATTGCAGAAGGAAACCACACTAAAGGGTAGGATAATGAAGTATTGTTTATTTTTTTGAATAGTAAATTCCTTCTATGGAAAGGAATATTCTTCTGCATTTACGGTTTGAAAGTTAAAATTTTGCAGTGGGATGAATCTCTCATGATTCTAGATTTTAAAAGTTGACTCTGAAAAATCCCACCTTATTAACATAGAAAGCAGTCAAATAGATGAAAAATACTATTACCACCCCGAGTTAATGAGTCAAACTGTACAAAAAATACAAGTTACAGTAGCTGTAATGTGCCCATGTCTAAGTTTCTGTCAAGAGCTACTGCTTTCAAAAGAACGTATAAAAAGACAGCTGCAATTGGCATGAAACCACAAAAATTCAAATGAGAATAGTTTTTATTTTTCAGCCATGAATATATCAAAGTTCTACCAATTGATATGTGTGAATCATGTTTCAGTAAATGAAATAAAACTCAAATTATGTAGACAAATACTTTTAAAATGTATTTTGTTGTCTCGATACACAATATTACATTATAACAATGTGACCTTAATTTGTGCGAAAAACCATGTGAGCTTTAAAAGTTTGTTGAGCTGTATATAGTCTAGGGAGCATTCATTATTTATTGTTGTAAGAAATTCACATATGTGATATCACCTATTCGAATTGGTGATATCACCAATTCAATTTGAATTGGTGATATCACTTATTCGAAAAGGTGATATCACCTATTCAGCACGAACAGGTGATATGATATCATCTATTCGAATAGGTGAGATCATCTATTTATTTCCATTAGGTGATATCACCAATTTGAATAGGTGATATGACCTATTAGAATAAGTGATATCACCTATTCGAATAGGGGATATCACCTATTGGAAATCTGTAACAGTTGATGTATCATCTATTCGAATAAGTGACTTTTTGCCAGTTAATACCAAAACGGCGCCTTATAGAATATGTTTTACAGTATTCCAAAGATAGTTCATCTGTAACAGTTGATGATGGTAACCTCAATAAAGGAATACTTCCTAGTTTTTTTTTACCTCAAATATTGTATGTAACTATTGTCATTATGACCAGTAACATGTGTCGTGCATTGTGTATGTATATGAACATGTATCCAAGTTGTTGACACCACATGTTGCATTACTATTGAATCCTTGCTGTTATATAAAGGTGATTTAATTGGTTTAAATATTTTTTTTATATATAACTGTTGTCAAAAATACTACCAAAATCATATCTGCTATCAGAAACTGAAAAAAAAGTTAAGTTGCCTTGATGTCATACACTATAATCTTATGAAGTACACTACTTGTATCATCTGCAGTTTATGATTTTTCTACAATTTATAAGCATATATAATCCTCCAAATTACACCCGTCAAGAAATTACATAATTCTCATGAATTATTGAGAAATATGGTCACATTTACACTTTAAAGCCCTGACCGTGTGCACACATATGTCCCCTATCTTTCAAAGATTACTAGAGTCACCTGCCAACAAACTGGAAATTTTGGAAGATAAGCTCGACCTTGTTCGTTATAAAGACAGTTTTAGAAAGGACAGCGCTTATTTTTACAAAAGCTTTTGAAATGAAGGTATTTTTGTTGTTGTTTTCTGTGATTTGTTGTAGCCAGGCTTTTATTGTGTGTCCACAGAACGCCTGTGCCACCGTCAGGTGCGCAGCTGTTACAGCGGAGAACTGCAATGGCGTCATAAAACAAAATGGCGGATACTGTGGATGCTGCGACTCTTGCGAGACTTATCTTGGTAATAACTTGTTATTATTGTATCAGTTTTTAAAAGAAATCTGATTTTTTTTTTTTTGAATTGCATTTATATAATATAGATTTAAGGAATCTGTAAAAGAAAACTTGGAGCTGGACTTAGATTTAAAAGGTAGTTACTAGTGATATTTAAATTATTGATCATTTTTTTTTCCAAAAATTAATTATTGTCATTACTAAGACTTTGATGAGGATGTATTCAAAACAAACAAATAATTCATTTCCTGTGTACCTAAATAGGAATATGAATTTGCCTCTTCGTATCAGATAATCATGCAGGTAGTTATGAGGTAATTGGCATTATAACTTTTATCTCACCAATAAATATGATAAGAAATGATCTAACGTGTAAGTACAAAAAGGTGACGTGAACAGAATTTCCGATGTAGGTTTGTACTAGAATTTTAACCAAAAGGAAATGAAAATTTGACAGCTACATGAACAAAGGGTCTATTCACATAACAGGTGCTGATTCTGAAGTATATCCATACACCAGTTAGGGCGGTACATTGATGTGAACTGATCTAGAATTTTTTTTTAAAAAATCGACAAGACATTATTTAGAATACGAGAGAGAGAGAGAGATTGAGGGACTGTAGGTTGATTTCTTTCGCCATTTCGCATTGCTGATATCGCTGGTCTGTACTCATATGTTAATATTCCTTCCAGTCGAGGTGAATTTCTAATACACCATATTCACAGTAATTAGATGCAGGAGGGTTTTTCTAAACCTTCTTTTAAATATTTGGTCGTTGTTCAAGCACATCTGTGAAACCATTGAAAATATAGTGGTACTGATGTCATATCATATGGATCGTGATTTATGTTACTGGTGAAATAAATATGTTTTAATCTGTGCCGCAAAAACTCGGAAATAGGGGGGTGGGGGCTCTCCCCAAATAATTATGTTTGAAAACTACCTACTAGTATTTTGAAAACTACCTATTTTTTAATTGTTCCCTTGAATGATAAGGTTTGAAATCATACTTTTTTGCCTGTGGGGGAATTGTGGCCTAGTGTCTACCACTTCCTCTAACTGAAAATGTTTGTTTTTATCCCCCCCTTGAAATTGCTTCCCATATGGACCTGCTGCCAATGAAAAAAAGCTAAGAATGTTAAAGATTTCAAATAATTTCTCCAGATAGGGAAGAACAGTCAAATACTAATATGGAAGAGACATCAGAGAGAAAAAACCTGGAAAATATAGCTCTCTGTGGTCGGTAAAAAATAGTACAATCTTCGTCAAACCATTATAGAATACTAGCATTTTAATAAGCAATGCGTGGGATACATGTACATACCTCAGCTGGAGGAATGATGGAGCAAACATTTAGAATACTAATAAAGCCACATATGGGCTTAAAACTTGAAACCCATCGCAAATAAAAGGAGATAGTTATTAGGCTTCTTGCCATTTACCTGTAAGGGAACCCACCATTTTTAAGTATAAATTCTATCATTCCTACCATTTCTTAGTAGCAGTGTATTTACAGCAGTGTAGCTGTTTGTCTTACAGCCAGTGTTGTGTATTTGTTTTTCAGCCGTGTGGCATATTTGTTTTACAGCTTTGTTTTTTTCTCACTGTGTAAATAGGCCTGCGAATTTCTTAAACAGTTGAACATGCTGAGGGTATATTGGTTTTTCAGCGGTGTGTTTAGCGTATTTCTTTTACAGCTGAGTGGTGTGTTGGTTTTTCAACGGTGTCTACAGCGTATTTCTTTTACAGCTGAGTGTGCATTGTTTTTCAACTGTTTATTTAACGTATTTCTTTTACAGCTGAATGTGTGTATCGGTTTTTCATCTGTTTATTTATCGTATTTCTTTTACAGCTGAGGGAGACTCGTGCATGAGCTCCATCTTTCTGGGCGTGCCCTCCACCAGTCACTGTGCGCCAGGACTGCACTGTGACATGCACACATTCAAGTGTGTCGCTAGTGAGTAGTTTATTAAGTCATTACTCAAATTTTCTTTAATTTTTCATAAAGAACGTGTTTTAACAAATTTATGTTTTAATAGATAGTTTTGCCTTTTTCAGATGTCCAGAAGAAGGGTATGTTACTGCCTCCATAAAACATAAGTTTTAATAACTTTGATAAACATTTATTTTTGTAAATCATTAAAACCTTATGTCAGAATTGTATACTTGTTATTTGATATATTTGATTTTATAGCTCTGAATCCATGTGCCCAAGAATTGTCGACTTTCACCGCCACCCAGAACGGCATGCCACTTCTGGGTGCTCACAAACCTGATTGTGACGCTGATGGATACTACCAGCCTAAACAGTGCCAAGGCTCAGGGTAGGCAACCTTAACAGAGCTGTATGGTGACTGTTACATTGTCTTTTTTAAATGAATTGTGTTTCTGTCGTGCTCGTTTGTACGTTAAAATGAGATATTTTGTTTGTAGGTGCAACTGCGTGACGAAGGATGGCAAAGAGATTGACGGATACAGTGCTCACATCTGGGAGGCTCAGCACATGACTTGTCGTGAGTATGGCTCTTTAAAATCTAAATTAAATCTCTGCTTTAAATTTCTGCTGTATATCCTTATAATCTCTGAGTTATTTTGAATATTTTTAGAATGTGCACGTGACCAGAAAGAGTACATGGATTCTGGTTTGATTGGTCGCCTATTTTACTGTACCAGTGACGGAAGTTACCAGAATTACCGATGTATGGGTGACGTCTGTCATTGCACGGACTCTGACGGCAACGTTATCGCCGAATCTCAGTCTGTCGATATTGCTCATGTCGACGATCTCAACTGTCGCCAGTAGAAAATCAACTTTTCTTTGTGACTTAATGTGTTTTATTGTCAGAAAAGAAAATAAAAAAGTTCCAGCTCTGTATTATTTAAACTTGGCATGTTGTTGAAGTGGATGTTTTTAAAAAAATAAACTTTTTTTTCCAATATTCTTATTTAATTAAAAAAAATATATATACATGTACTGTAAAATTTGATTCATGTAAAAAGCTGCTAGAATTACTCTGATCTCTCTATCAAAATGATCTAGACCTTTAAACAGATGTCATACCAAGAAAACGAAATTCACACCAAAATTTATGGAGGTTGACACAGTAAAACGTGTGTTTTTTACCATTATGACAATTTTAGACATGAATGAACATATTGGAATAGAAATGTCGATTAAGTGAACCTTACCACATTTACATTATTCGTTCGTCAATGATTTATCAAAATATGAGTTATCTATCTTGGCGTGCAGGGACACACCGCCTTAAGTTCAGCCACCTTAAGTATAAGTACAAGCTATTCTACATTGTATTGGTTGTAGTTAACTTTACCTTACCCCAGTAAAATAAAATTTTAAAATGAAAAACCTAACATATTTTTAAATTGATTCTTGTACAGAAACATGGCATTTGGGGAGGATTTATTATTGAGAAATGTCCGATTTTTTTTTAATACCGTTCCTTTCTCCTGGTCATCATATTTTTTTTTAATCTAACTAAGTTAAAAAATTCAATATGGGTCGTTGGGTGAAGGGCTTTGAAAAGACCTACAGTCATAAAGTCTGGGAAAAGGTCACCGATTCGAGGAAAATAGATAAATACTATAATCTACAAATATCTGTCAAAATTTGAATGAGTCATAAAGACTGCATGTCTTTTATCTCAGTGAAGATTTGAGAAAACAACACATGGCTTGTGGTTGTATGAACGGTTAATTAAAGTAAAATTGTTGCCCATGTCATACACGCATTTATTGGACGACTTTTTTTTTACCTCACGAAAAAAGTCCAGGCCACAGGATCATGAACACAGGCGCTTGCTTCGTATACGGGGTACCCCCTACTTATATTTACCACAAGGTTCCATACTAAGTACCTTGTGGTAAATATAACTACTGCCGGGTATACCCCGTATACGAAACAATTCATTGGCGTCGGAAGCAAATTGAAAGTGGGGGGGCTATGTGAGTGTAAAAAAAAAATTGTACCTTCAAAAAAACCTGACAAGCAAAAAAAAAAAAGGGGGGGGGGGGGGTGAATGTCCATTTCCCAAACATGAATATCCTATTTCGTGGTGGTGGTGGTGGTGGGGGGGGGGGGGGGGTTAGGTTTGAACTTCAGTACCAAAATTTTTTCCAAACACCACCACTTTCCCCATTTTTAACCTATACTAAGACATATCTGTGGAAAGTGGGGGGGGGCTAAACCTCCGAAGATATGTTCAATGTCTATACTAAGTTTATATTTGGAAAAAAAGGGGGGAGGGCTAAGCCCCCCCCCCCCCCTAGCCCCCCGGTTCCGACGCCTATGCAATTAGTGCCTGTGATCATGAAGCATCTTAAGCTTAAGTCAAAATCTTCATGTTGTACTTAAATGTTGTGGAAGTCAAGCGGATCAAATTAAAATAAGAAAATTTGACTTTTAAAAGTCTAAGTCTGTTACATGATCCTTGGGCCCGGTCGGCCCCTCATTAAAGGGAGAGGCAATTTAATTTAATTTAATTAATTAACGCCTCTCGACTTTTCCCCATGCACTAGTTTTGTAGGGATTTTTTTATGAAAGTTCCCCTCCCAATTTTTGATGATTGCAGAAAGGCCCTGCAATCCCATTATCACTGATTATTGTACCTACTGTACCTGAGAGTATGAAAGATCTACCATCGCCCCTTCCCATTCTTCCTGACATTCTCTTGTTTTTCTTTATTTATGACATGTACACACGGAAGAGGAGTGTCTTTTTTTTCAAGTGTTTTTTGGAATTATTTTAATTATTATTATAATTTCATTAATTGATTCATTGGTTGATTGATTAGATTGATTGATTTATTGTTGGGGGTACGGGTTAGGAAGTTAACCGCCGGGTTAAACTGTTACATGTAAGAGTTAGAGGGGGGAACTTTGCAAATACACAGTACTTTATCTTGTCCTATATTAAACGTAAATATTTAAAATAGTATATACAACTTGTCTTTAGACCTAATAAGAATTGAGAAAAACACAATAAATTTTAATGTATCTTATATCACATCAAAGGATATTTTAAAACTCTCATGGTACTAAAAGTTGTGATTCAACTGGTTTCACGGTTGTTTCAATAGACTTTTATTTAAATATTAGCAAGTTCGACTTTTTTAAATGTGTTTTTTGATCAAATAAAATAATTAAAGGTACTGCTGGTCAATGAACTTTTTGAATCATTGCAAGACCGAACTGCTTGCTATTCATGGCTTTAGTACGCATGCCCCGGAAATAGTGGACGGAAGTGTAAATATAAACAGATGAGGAGATACTAGAGAAGTCAGAAGTGGCGAACTGGTAAGGAATTTTTGTCATTTCCTTTTTGGGTTAATGACAGCTTATATCCCTTTCATTAGTTATATGCTTACAGTAGCTGTAACAGATGTTTTAGTCAGCAGAAGGGCTTTAAACTCGACCTTATGCAAAATAAAACAGCGCCCACTCAAAAGCAACAGGTGAAAATGACAGGGGATGGCATGTTTTAGGCGTAGCCAAAATTTGAAAAAAATGTTCAAGCTATTGTAAAATCTGATAAGTATGATTTAATCATGAATTTCTAATATTTGTTATCGTAATCACATATATATGTAATCATTGTAAAATTTTGTATCTGTGGTCCTTAAAGATTTTCTTCACAAATAGATTCTAAAATTCAGTATCAACATTGACTCTGTCATAATAACTAAAACTGTACACCAATTTAAAAACATCTAAGACAAATACTTAGATCATTACCCACTCAAATACAATTTTACATAGGATTAGGAATGTTACTTGTAAAAGATTAGTGGAAACATGTCACAAGGAAAAGAGCTGCCAATATATAGAGCATCAAAAAAAGCTGTGGGCAGAATCAACATAAGGTAACATAAGGTATAAGAAGAGCTTCATACATTGATAAACATAACTATAAACAGAAAAAATGATTACAACACCTGTTTCATGTCAGTTTATTTGGTCATAAGTTCATGTCAGTCTAATTAAAATTAGATGACACGAACAACATTTAGCAACATCTTAGTTAGAATCTGCATTGGATATTTTCGGACAATTGAGTTCTCATCAAAGTTAGAATATGTCCAATAGTTATATACTGAAAGGAAAAAGAAACGCAGGATAGCATAATATTCGGGAAAATTTTGACCGCTTGAGCAAAAATTATGAAAATTACTCACATGAGAAACTTAATTACTATGAACCAAAATTAGGGTTCAGAACTACTCAACCGTAAAAATTATGACGTCACATAGGGAAAACGTTAAAAGCCCAAAACACGTGCAATTTGATGCCGAGGAGTTTGTCAAAAAAAATTGTTGCACGATTTGATGCACCTGAGGTATGCACATTGTTTTTCAATATTTAAAGACAATATGAATTTCTTGCAATCTTGGTGCAGTTTACAGAAGTTCCATGGGATCTGATTTCCGAATTGCCTATTTGATGAAAAAGGCAACAACGGGTAAGTAAGCAGTTTCTTGTAAATTTTCCCCCATAGAACTTGGAACCCGTTATCAGAGAGGGCCTGGAACCGTTTTCAATCAACCGTGACGATGACGTCAATGCAAAACAGAGTCGGGTTACGAGCGGGTTATTCGTCCTGCCATCTCATAAATCGCCTCCTTACTACCCCCAAAACCGCCTTTTATACAGAAGACTATCATAATCTTTACGTTCACACGAAAAATGAAAGAAAACAATTCCGCAATTTGGTTTTTTGAGCCGGTCAACTTACTGATGTGTTTCTCTCACTGGCGCATGCGCGCGTCGCACTACTAATTTTTTGGTGTGGTAACCCATGCCCAATTGAGCCAGGGATTGAAAGATTAAACACTCTGATGAATTACATACAAAGGAGAAATAAGGGCGCAGACGGATGTGCGGGAGAGACATTGAAGAGAATGAGAGTTTTCGATTTTCACTTTTTGGGAGTATCGTCATATGAGCTACAATAACTCATCAATTATTAAACAAAATCAAATGGGATTTTGGTTATATCTTTTTGAAAGATAGTTTTAAAAGTTAGATAGGAATACTGAAAAATATTAAAAGAAAAATAGATATTATTCACTTAAAATGTTTACCCTGCGTTTCTTTTTCCTTTCAGTATAGTTGCAATTGAGATCATTTGTTTCCACTGAAATTTATGCTCATGGTTTTCACTTATTATGTTATTATTGATTAAAAGTTGCAGTTATATGACCCAGTGGATGCAGTGGATGTTCAAGTTGTTAGATATTTGAGAAGCTGGGTGGATTTGCAATGTCTAATATTAATTAGATTGCACATCAGTCATCAAATTGAAGCTTAAACAGCGATTTTTTTCCACCCATTGGGAAAGGGTCCGGTACCGGTGTAGCATAATATTTTGATACCGCGATATATTGAACCCGGGTTCGAAATATCGCATAATATTTTGAAAATATATTGAACCCCCTTATAAAATATTGAACCCCTACCTTTTTTATTTAAGAGGGAATATAATGGCCATAATATATAGTCCCCGTGCCCATTTAATTTTCAAAATATTATGGCCATAAAATATTGAGTCCCCCTGTACTTTTAATTTAAGAGGAAGGGGGTTCAAAATATTATGGCCATAAAATATTGAGTCAATTGGGAAAAATAACATCGAAGAAAAACAAAAGAGAATTTTCTTTTATTTATGCAAATGCAACGTGTTTTGCATTTATTCCAACTTAATTACCTATAACTGCTTGTTTTTTTAAAAAGAATAAACAACAAGTACTTATTGTTTTTTATATCAACGTTTCACATTGTCATGCTTTCAGTTTGTCAAAATGTATGACACTACGCTGTCTAACCAACTGCTCCCGCCAAATTACGACTTTCTCTACTTTCGATTTAAGCAAAAGTGAAACAATTAGTCAACTTGTACAATGTTTCATTTAACAAGAAATGCAATGTCGTAGTAATCTTTTGCTTCACAGTTGAATTGGGAATTTTTAGTCACAGAATTGGGAAAAATTAACGTTTTTTGGCATTGGGAACGGTGCTGTTTATCGGTACCAGTTATATAAGGAAATAAAACGCTGTTAGATCACAAAATTTTTATGACACCTTATTTTTGTGAGGTTATCTGACATTAACTATATGTTAGCGAGACAAAAGCGAGGGTTACTACATTATATAATTTTAAGAAATTTTAATACTAATATACATGAGAATAATATTTTTGTGAGCACTCTGTGAAGTGTAATTATCATGATTATGTGAAATTAAAGTTCTCACTTATATAAAGTGATTTACAATATACATTTAAAGTATTTGGTTGTATTCTTTTCTTTTTCTATTTATTCATTTGCAGTTGGACAGGACATGTAGTGTTTGGCTTTTTTGCCTCTATCTTTCCTCCATCCTTCCATCCATCAGTCATTCTAATCTATGCTTCTAATTTTCCATCTCTTTTAAGAAAGATTTCAAAATTTTTTTTGTCAAATGTCTTCCAAAAAGGGATGAGAAAAATTCAGTCAACTGTGTGACTGTATCATAATTTTTTTGACATTGATCTTTCCTATGACCTTGACCTAACTTATTTCATTAAGTTGCTTGGATTGTTAGTCGCTTACTATTTCCCAGTTTGCATGTATCATGGTTCTAAGAACAGTACTAATAAAGGTATTTTCATCAAGCTTGGTACATATGTACATACTCACAAATTTGTGAATAATTCAACTGTATTAAGATTTTCTCACTTTACCTTCATTATAACCTTGAACTTCAATTTCATGATTTTTTTTATCAGAGTTCATTCAAATTATATATCAAAACAGTTGTGATGTAAGTTTTTTACTTTGACCTGTAGGTGACCTTAATCTTCCAAATGAAATAGCTTAACCTCTGTGAGAGCAGTTCAATCATACCTATATACTGAAGAGATTGTAGGTAATTTGTTACATACTGTGAGACTGGAATTAGAGGCAACCAGTCTATTTAACTGTTTGAAATATAACATGGTGTTACTGAGTGCTGTAAAAGGTAACAGCTGAACTAAAAATTACTGGTGTGTTTAAATGAAAAATAGGAGAAATTATTCCTTCACTCATCAAATTTTACTATTAACTCAGACTGAAGAAATAAGGTACAATTCTTATTATTTTGCAATACAAATGCACCTTTGGGTGGGGCATTCATCCTGTATTACCAGTATATTAGATGATTATCAGGTTATTTCTATAGTTGATCATATTTTATACGATTGCAGGGCAGCTCATGTGGCAATATAGTTGTAACACAAAACTGCTAAAATACCATTGTGGAAGCTTAGAGGTATGTTCACAAGTCTATAAAGTATATTATGTAGATACATGTATGTTACTATTTACAGATAATAATTGACATAAACTTTTTGTGGGTTTGGGGTACCCTAAATATGATAAATGAATTAATTAATCAGAACCTCTTGAATTTGAAGTGCATGTACATGTACCTATAAATAGTAAAACCCAGTAGTAGATTTCGACGAGTCCCACACTGAGAGGGGTATAAGAGATGTTTACCAAGGGTATTGACATTCAGTACAAATATAGTAAATTCACGTATCTGCAGGACAAAGTGAAACTAAATATTTCTGAGTCAAGATAAGAGGGCCTAATGTCACTTGAACTGTACAGCTAATGAGGCTTACGTGTTTGCTCATGCTCCGATTGTCTGGGAGCTGGCAGTCTTTTGTTGTGAAGGACATCCTCTTATGCACTGTAAACTGATAACTGTTGTGTCACCAGGATTTCCTGAATGATAGCCACTACCGCATTACTGTTTTGTCTCGGCGATTCTCAGCATCACACTCTCTGGTTGTGGAGTATTATCTTGTGATTATATTATAGTGACTGTGATTCTCAACTATATATACTGTATATAGTACACATAGTTTTTAGTGTACTAGCATCATTGGAGGATTTTTTTCCCAAGGCTATAAGGACAGATGGTTCAGGATCTAAATTTAGCATACCCGGTACATGTGGATTTTACTCAAGTGATGTGATTCAATTAGTGATTATAATACGACTTATCTTGGATAGACTATTTTTATATTCTCTGTGCATATCCTGTAAGTATGGGATCTATACTGTGCTGAAAACCAATAAGCAATGTTCAGAGAATGTAATTTCACCAGTTTTAGGGCATTATTTTTCCTATTATATTAATCAATATGACAAAGGAATACTTATTTCAATGTAAGAAGAACAGAGAAATTTTAGTTATAGATAAACAGATAATATGTTTACATATATACACATATTAGTATATGTGTGTGTTATTTATATTTACTGTATATGGTGACAGCCTTAAATTGTAGAGTGTAATTTAATGTAGATGGGATGAATAATAACAGGACAAGGCTTAATTAATGAAATGTGTTTCATTTATGACATCTGAAAATCATGATGGAAACTTGATATTTCAGAAATTCTGCAATTAAAGGGAAATATATATGTGACAGTTATTAGTATCTCATGATTGACAGCTAAATTAAAAATTGCAGATGTAAAAAAACAGAAATCTCCATTAGCTATACACTGTATGTAAAACACTGTAAATGTTATTTAAAATGCCTTTCAGAAGATGAACTTACTGTAAGGGTAGAAACAACCAGAGCGAATGAGATGTAGTCAGAAAATGTTCGCTACCAACCATGAGCAGGACGCCAAGAAGCAATAGTTACGAAGATTACTGGAAAGAATTCAAGGACATCGCCAGCAGCACTGATGGGGAAAACGAAGAGGAGGAGACCAGTAAAACCCCCGATGGTAATTCATTTTTATGCCCCTCCAGAGAAATCCCAAAGATCCCAGGATCTTTACAAAATTTATGACTTAACCGAAATTTGACGTTGTCTAACAACTTAAAAATGATCAATATATCATCAACTAATCACTAAATATCCAGTAAAATCAGTAAAACTCTCACACAAAGGTTTATAAAAGATCAATCGTAATTATGACATAATTTTTGTTTTATATACCACATAGGGCGGTTCAATTTTCATTTCACGTATTAAGATTTAAAATGATAATGAATGCATTAATGTCTTCCCTGCATTTCCAAACAACCGTTTCTATGGCAACTGCCATAGCGTTACTATCATAAATATTTAAATTTTTTTTAATTTAAAATATTCAACATATGTCTATATTCTAATTTTTGATTTTCAACCAATTCCACTTAAAAATCAATAAAACACGAAACAAGATGTGTTTGTGAAACACTATACGCCCGGCGGCAACAAAATTCAAAAAAGATATTTTTAGCATATAAGTGACAGTCAAGGTCAGAAGGTCATTGACCTTGGTGTCATTTGAAATAACTTGATTAGTGGAGTTTGCACACCAAATATGAAGCCTCTATCTCCTATGGTTTAAAAGTTGTGGCAAAGGTAAGAAAAAGCTATTTTTAGCCTATAGGTCACAGTCAAGGTCAGCAGGTCATTGACCTTTGTGTCATTTGAAAGAACTTGATTAGTGAAGTATGCATACCAAATATGAAGATTATATCTTTCATTGTTCAAAAGTGATGATGAAGGTTAAAGTTTGCAGAAAAAAAAACAATTTTTAGCATATAGGTCACAGTCAAGGTCACAAGGTCATTGACCTTGGTGTCATTTGAAAGAGCTTCATTAATGGAGTACATGTACCAATTATGAAGTCTCTATCTTTCGTGGTTCAAAAGTTATGGCGAAGGTTAAAGTTTGCAAACAAACAGACAGACAGGGCAAAAACAATATACTTCCCGGATCTATCGATCCGTGCGCATAAAAATTCCACGAACTTTTGGATCAACCCTCGTAAATTAAAATTATCAGGAAAATTTTTTTGAAGATTTTGGAGATTGTTGTTGCATATGATCATGTTTTTGAATTTGAAATGACTCACAGATTATGTTGTCCATTGTTCATTGACTTTCTCTAAATGAAGACTAATTCTGTGTTATAGAAGGAGAAGAGGAGGCAGATTGGTTAAAAGAGGCAGGATATGAGTTTGTTGTCCACCATATTACAGGTAAAGAATGGTCACATACTGTATATCACAGATAAGTAATGGTCAAATATATAAACCATAAAACATACTACAGGTAAGTAAATGGTCAAATACCTACTATAAAATAATGAAGTTACTGTTTAAGTGGAAAATTTAACAATTGAGTCACAAGTTTAACAATTTGATCTTTAAAATTGCTTTTTTATTTTTAGAAAGAAGTAATTTTAACAATTTTAAAATTCTCACTAAAAAAGCTAATAAATTTTTAGCAATATTTAATTTTTAAGAACCCAGCTCTCTCGCTAATAATGCCAAAATTAATTCCTCAATAAAAATTCTGCTTATACGGTATTGTTCATAGGCACGTGTATTTTTTGGGCAGGGATGACCCATGAAAGCCAAGAATATTGTTTCTCCCTGAAAAATGATGATGACAGAAAATTAGTACAGTTGTATATGCTGTGTCTGACTTGACATGCTATGACCTAAGTCATTGTCTGGACATAATGCGTGCGACATGTAGTCATGCAGTATTATATCTATGTTACTATAGTAACCTCATTCATTTTCCTGTTGGTGTGATTGATTTAGATCTAACGTTTGGGTTTTATAAGTTTTTGATTAAGAATGGTATAGGTATTATTTTTAGAGATCTTGTGTCATACAGCTATTGATTTTTATCTATTTTGAGTACACACTGCTCAACACTTCATGATATATACATGTAAGCAACTTGTATTTTAGATAAGTTGTAAAAATAATTTTAAAAATGTAAACCAGTAAATGCTTATGTATTTTTATGAGAGAGCCACAGTGAAAGCGTAGGAAATTCCAACAGGATATTTGAAAAATAACTTGATTACATAACCATGTAGAAATTTACCTGTTAAAAGGTGTCATAAATTTTGTTGCTTAACTCTAGTTTAGTAGTAGTTTGATCATTTAAGATATTGTGTTCAACTGATGCAAGGTCTTCGTTTATTCAAGGCACTTAATAGTATCAGTTTAAATAACCTATAAAATAAAAATATGCATGTATATACATATATATACATACATGTACATAACAGCAGTAGTTATAGTTCTGAAATAGATAGACCTTGACATATGTAAACAAATCATTCGTATTCAGTTCTTTGATTAATGACCAAGGTAGTTAGGACACCTGACTCCAGTCATGATTTCAATTAATTAATTTGCTGTGAAATTTTGCCATGTAGTCAATAGAGATTTTTTTTATTTCAAACCAGGTGGAAGAGAATTGACAGATGAAGAGATCCAAGGTTTTACAGCGACCTTGACCACTAGCCAGGCGGCCGTCGTCCGGCGCCGTGTGAACACACTGAGCAGCACCTTCAGGGCAAAACAGAAACACAAGACAGATGTCAGAGACATCTTCCCAGAACAGACAGACAACCAGGTATAATGTGCCGTACTAATGTAGTAATTAATTTTAAACTGGGCTTTTCCATATTAAGGAACATTCAGTTATTGAGATCAAGAAAATTGCAGGTAGGCAGCTTCCAAAGGGATGTATCATTTGTCCATATAACTCCTCCTACAGTTTTGATGATGTGTGTATTTTAAAGTTCTTGGTTCTTAGATTTTGATTTTGTCTGAATAATTTCTGCTTCAGTTTTCAAGATTGGAAGCTTTTATTTTGCATTTGTATCAGAGATGATCATGGTAAGCTGGCCAGGGATATCTTTTAACAACAAATGGGTTCATGTTTGATATTTCTGTTGATAACATGAGTGAGTATTATATGAACAAGAAGAAAAGTTAATGCAGTCCTACAGTGTACATTGAATAAACAGTGGTGGACAAGGGAAAAAAGTGTACATGAGAAAAACAAGTATTTTGGGTTTTGTTCTCATCCCATGAGATGAGAGTTAATGAGTTATAGAGGATTTTTCCCTTAATATACTTTGATGTTCCTGTATACAATGTATTTAGATAGAAAAATTTTATACCTTATTGTAATGCAAGTACAGTTGTACTTGAGCTATTTTGATCATGCATGTATTGCTGCTTATGGTACAAACCTCATATTTACAGGGGAAATGAAATAGCACATGTCAAAGGTTTTATGATAAAGCTCTGTTCTTAGTTATAAATATACCATTATATAGTCATTGTTTGGTATTTATAGAAATATAGATTTTTCTTAATTCTTGTTTTTAATTAGTCCTCCAAATCTACCTCTCACACCACTACAGATGCTAATGATGACGTTAATGTGTCTGCCGTCCCCAGGAGGAGCACGGATAAAAGGCTTCCCTCCCTTCACAGACTCAAGGGAGAGTACTCCATGTCAGGCAGGAGGAATGAGGTGATGAAGGATAATAATGTTTCTGGTGAGTCTCTGATGAAGCCAGGCGTATTATACCCAGAGCTTCATTTCTGTGTCTTATTGTAGTGAAAAGTAACACAGAGTAATAAGTAGCTTAGATGCCACATACAGGACATGTAGTTGTATATCAGATGGCATAGTGTTTAAAACTGAACTTTTGATGAGACATCTTTAAATCTTAAGACAAGTGAGAATACTGTAAATCACTTTTTATTTGTGAGAACTTTATTTTTGCATAATTATGCAAGACAATGAGCTCACAAAAATTTCATACTCGCATATAAAAGTATTCGTTATGATTATAATATAGAGGAATAACAATTCGTGAAAATTATGTCTCGCTAGTAAAGAGTCAATGACTATCTCACAAAAATAAGATGTCACAAAAATTAAGTGATCTACAGTATTTACCTCTTTCTTTAAATTAAGAAAATATTTTTTCTCTAAGTTTAATAAGGAGTATTCTAACTTATGGATAGCCATGAATTTAGATTACAAAAGAATGTTAAAGATGGGAACATTCAATATACACTGTATATGTCTGTCCATGCATAACATATTTGGAATTATAAATTTTGCATTTGAAGTTGTTTTTTTTTTTTTAATCAAAACCTTGAGATATTGAGCTGTTCATATTATCTTTTTGAGTTTTTGCATTTTGGTTCCTGATGACAGCGATGAGTAAAGTTCAGGGTATTGATGTAAATAATACTCCAGATACAGTTGAACTTCAGTATCTCGAACATGGATATCTTGAATACCATGGATATGTCAAAGTCATTTTGAAGTCCCAGCTACTTATTCCTAAGTATTTCAGAGTTTTTTATCTCGGTCCATTCTAGTTTGAGATACCAGGGGTAACAAGGTTTGACTATGTAACTATATTTTTTTGGAGAGGGAGCGGGGCATTTGCAAAAATTTAGTGGATTTTTGGTGTGTTTATTATTATTGAAGTGCAGATTTTTTATCTTTTGAGTTTCTCAGTGGTTGTCATTTTTCAAAGTAGTTAAATAGTTCCGAATCTTGAAATGTTTTAAGCCTAGTTCTGAGTAGGCATTCTGTGTTGCCAGCATATCTTCCATACTCCATCACAAGTCTTGTTTTTATAATGACTTTGGTGGTCAATGGATGAGTATGAAATAATGTTGCATAATTTTTCATAGTATTTGAGAAACAAAGAAAAACATCTATTCATTAATTTTATGAAGAAATATGTATTGTAATTATATGCATCATTAAGGAATACATAAAACATGGAGATGTTCAGTTTTTATAATTTGTTACTCAGATGTGTGGCAGAAAATTCTTTTCTCCAATTATAATGAAACTTTTTTGTGACTTTGATGAATACTTTCAAAGATAACGTGTTTGTCCATATGTCAGAATTACTTTGTTTCCCACAGTGTTTCTTAATTATTTGCGGATTTTAAATTCAATAAATTCTCAAAATTTGGACAGAAAATATATTTTGCTTGAAACAGACCTAGAAAGACAACCAAATGTAATTCTGTGAGAGGCATTTGGATCTCTCTCCAGTGACATGTAACTAATTCAATTAACAGTGTAATTAGGACTTTCTATATCTGACCCCCTGTGTACTATGTATGTAGATGAGGAGGACTTTTTTGACCTGGGTCCTATTATAGGTGAGTAATGGAGGACTGTATAGACACATATTGTGTTCTTACATCACCTATTTCTGGACTCAGTTCTTCTGTTTTCTATCTCATACTATCAACTTGCTTTTTGTTCAAATTTTCATCGAAAAGTCACTTTCTGTTCCAATCCACTTTGTGTAATTTGTAAACATTTTAAGCAACATCATCACTTTCTGTAACTTCAGTCTTTACTGTATAAAACTCCCATATTTTCAGTTTTATGACTTTTTAAGACAGTACTCTAAGGAATTATGTTGTATTAAATCAGAATGCTTTGACAGATCCTTTTTTTTTTTGCTAACTTTGTCATCATGAGTCTAAAAACAACATTTTTATTTTAAATTACTTGCTTTATATATGTAAAAACAGAATATACATGCATATCCTGAGGTTAAAATTTTAAAAATGGCATTAACTTAGAAAAAGATCATTTACCAAGTGCATTGAGATTTGACATTTCTTTTATAAACCATGCAATGGGCATAAATTTATACTTGTCTGTATGTTACCAAAATATGGATATTGTTTCAGGAATTGAGATGCTAAGCATGCAACCCAAAGGTACTTTTAATAAGTACATGGGACCAAGTTCTCCTGAGGGCCATGGGAAACCACTTACTTCAATGCCAAGCATTTCTGATGAAGACATTGAGTTTGAGCTGAGATTAGAGGAAACTGCCAAAACCAAAGTAATTTATGCTTTTATGTTTGGCAGATAATTTTTTTTAGTTAACTTGCAAAAAAAGATTTCATGTATATATCTTTATTTTTTCTAAGGTAAAATGTTCTTGTATTTATGGATCTAGTGGAAGTTTTGATTTTAGCCATGTCAAAGCAGCATCATATACTGATACACCTCTTTCAATGTATACAATCATTTGAACTAACTAACCCTGAGTAAAGTTTAGAACTCTGACATATTTAAAATTTGCCAACCTATATTGATGTAATTCTATACTCATTAACAGAACACCATGCAGTCAGCAGGATTAGAAAGTGAAGATGAATTGCCAGTAAGTACATGTTCCACACACCTTGTAACATTTAATCCTATTCCTGCTACTGCTACAGTGTTAAACTAAACCAACAAGTGCTTGTATTTACACAGAATTTCAGGATTATACCAGACAAGTTAGGCTTAACCAGAGTGTGTGACCTGAGTTTAACCGATATGAACCAGATCAAGTCCTTGGCTCTCATTGAGTTGACTGCACTTCTAGAAAGGAACAGTATCATGTACCACAGACGGAAGGGCAAAAAGAAGGTCAAAGGTAGAGATCTGATGTATTTCATTAACCTCCTAGTCCATTGTCTTTCCTTAAGTGTTGAATGTTTTAATACTCACACTTTCTCTAATTTTCTGGCATTAAATGGTTTTTTAGCATACCTACTTAGTGCTGTGAGTGTAACTTGTTACAAGACTTTAAAACCTTTTTTTAATGCCATACACATTAGCAGAATCAATAATTTGATGTAAAAGGGTTAATTTGGTGCATTTGTATCCTACATGTGCAAGTAATATCTGTACAGATTTCATTTCTATTGTGTTACATGTACATGTCACAAGCATAAATGTTTCACCCAAACTTGAGTGCCAGTAATATCATTCTTGAAGATACAGTCATGTACAATATCATTACATGTGAACACAGTATGAAATAATCAGTTATAAATTTGTTTTAGATAATGGTATATTTGGAGTTTCATTACAAGCATTGCTGGACCATGATCAGAAGTTACGACCAGAACAAACAGTCCCTATGGTTTTTGAAGATGTGAGTCATTCTGATTTCTTTTTTTTATAGTAATTTTAATTTTCTAAGACAATAAGAAAAACTCTTTGAATTCCAAAATGGGATAATTTTTTTTTTACTTTTAAGTTTTTTAAAGCCAAAGGCTCAAGTAAGCTTTTCTATTCAAAGAGTGGTTTCTGTTTGTTGTATGTTGTGCATTGTTATATGTACTTCTCCCGAACCACTGAGCCAGTTTTAAAGAAACTTTCAACAAATCATCCCTAGATTAAGGAATTCAGGTTCATTCAAATGAAGAGCTTTCCTCCTTCAAAAGGAGGTGATTAAGAAATTATGAAAAAATGTCGGGTCACAATTAGTCATTTTTAGCTCACCTGAGCTGAAAGCTCAAGTGAGCTTTTCTGATCACCTGATGTCCGTTGTCCGTCTAGCTGTCCGTCTGTCCGTCCGTCTGTAAACTTTTGACATTTTCAACTTCTTCTCAAGAACCACTGGGCCAATTTTAACCAAACTTGGTACAAAGCATTTTTTGGTGAAGGGGAGTTTAAATTGTTAAAATGAAGGGCCAAGTCCCTGTGCAAGGGGAGATAATCATGAAAAGACAAAAATAGGGTGGGGTCATTAAAAAATCTTCTTCTCAAGAACCACAGGGCCAGGAAAGGTGAAACTTATGTGGAAGCATCATGGGATAGTGTAGATTCTAAATTGTTAAAATTATGACCCCCGGGGGTAGGACGGGGCCACAATAGGGAATCCAAGTTTCACATAGAAATACATAGGAAAAATCTTTAAAAATCTTCTTCTCAAGAACCACAGGGCTAGGAAAGCTGAAACTTATGTGGAAGCATCCTGGGATGGTGTAGATTCTAAATTGTTAAAATCATGACCCCCGGGGGTAGGGCGGGGCTACAATAGGGAATCCAAGTTTCACATAGAAATACATAGGAGAAATCTTTAAAAATCTTCTTCTCAAGAACCACTAGGCCAGGAAAGCTGAAACTTATGTGGGAACATCCTGGGGTAGTGTAGATTCTAAATTGTTAAAATCATGACCCCCTGGGGTAGGGCTGGGCCACAATAGGGAATCCAAGTTTTACATAGAAATACATAGGAAAAATCTTTAAAAATCTTCTTATCAAGAACCACTGGGCCAGGAAAGCTGAAACTTATGTGGAAGCATCCTGGGATAGTGTAGATTTTAAATTTTTAAAATCATGACCCCCGGGGGTAGGGCGGGGCCACAATGGCCGACCAAAGTTTTACATAGAAATTTATATAGGAAAATTCTTTAAAAATCTTCTTCTCAAGAATAACAAAGCCATAATTGATCATATTTATATGGAAGCATCCTCAGGTAGTGTTGATTCAAGTTTGTTCAAATCATGACCCCTAGGGATAGGACGGGGCCAAAATGGCTGACCAAAGTTTTACATGGAAATATATAGGAAAATTCTTTAAAATTCTTCTTCTCAAGAATAGCAAAGCCATAATTGATCATATTTAATATGGAAGCATCCTCAGATAGTGTAGATTCAAGTTTGTTCAAATCATGACCCCCGGGGGTAGGGCGGGGCCAAAATGGCCAACCAAAGTTTTACATGGAAATGTATAGGAAATTTTTTTAAAAATCTTCTTCTCAATAATAGCAAAGCCATAATAAATCATATTTATATGGAAGTATCCTCAGGTAGTGTAGATTCAATAATGTTCAAATGATGACCCCTGGGGGTAGGGCGGGGCCACAATGGCCGATCAAAGTTTTACATAGACATATATAGGAAAATTCTTTAAAAATCATCTCCTCAAGAATAGCAAAGCCATGATTGGTCATGGCACTACTTTTGGATTTAAACTTTTCAATAATAAACCAATTCTACTTTTTCCTAGCCACAGTGCTCAGGTGAGCGATGTGACCCATGGGCCTCTTGTTTAAAATACGTGTCAAGTAGTATAGTATCAATTTGTTGAAACTTGTTCCCTGAAGCTTAGCTGCAGAACTGTAGCTCTCTGCTTGAGAAAATTCGGACAGATAAAGCAGAGAGCCACAGATCCAAGCGTTGAAAAACCTTCGATTTATGTCGAATATTTTTTGTCGCTCACTATGGGTATTTTTTCGTGTATTTTATACTTTCCCCAGCTTTGAAAATAATTTTAAATGGTATTTAATAATTAATCATACATTCAACTTCAATTCCTGATCATTTACTTACCTCTCAACGCTAACAAATGGCCGTTTGTAGGCTAGTTACAGACGTCGAAATGGAACTCTTTTAAACCGACATTACAAAAATACATGTACATACAGGACTGTTTCAGACCGTTAAAAGGTAAACAAAGTATCAAATATAAAAGTTAAATATATAAATTATTAAAGGATACCATTCTAAAAGCCAGAGAAAGCTTAAACTACAAGAAATAAATATCTAAAGCAGCTACAAAAAAACGTCTGCGTAAATCGAAGGTTTTTACAATGCTTGGATCTGTAGCTCTCTGCTTTATCTGTCCAAATTTTCTCAAGCGGAGAGCTACAATTCTGCAGCTACCTGAAGCTGAGATAGGACAATAATAAGGGGTCTTTTTTTTTTTAAATAGATGATTAAATTCATGGAACAGCATTGTTTGGAACAAGAAGGAATTCTAAGGATCCCAGGGTCTGCAGCTAGAGTGAAGGTAAAGACCAACCAGCAATGAGAACATAAAGTATTTATAGATGTTTTATCAATCATGATTGTTAACTATCCTGGGTTCTCTGTATCCACTGGTACATATCTATTTAGCAACTTCGACAAGACTTGGAGGACAAATTTTACTCGGGCACCTTCTCCTGGGTTGACGTGCTTCCTCATGATGCGGCAGCGCTGATGAAACAGTTTTTACGAGAACTTCCCAATCCCCTCCTCACTCACGAGTACATTGATGCTTTTGCTCAAGTAGAAAGTAAGTGCTTCTGTTTAGAAAAGGACTTCCTGTTATATTTTTGAGTGTAAAACAACAAGTGGAACTTCAAAGTACTTGAAATTTTTATCACATAAATCATGATATAATAGTCAACAGACATTAATTATTTTAACATAGATTTTATTTTTTGAACATTATTTAATGATATACTGGTACTCTTTCTTTTGTAGATATCAAAGAGAAAAAGTTTCAATTACAGGCATTAAATCTGTTAATTCTCCTACTTCCCCCTGTAAATAGGAATACATTGAAGGTAATTCATAAATACATTTGAAACTCACAAAGAATTTACAAACAAAATCTCATAGCTTAAGAAATTTTCTTAATGTTGGATAATCTCTGTTGTGGAAGTAAACCTCCAATCAGAATTCTTTTTAGAGAATAACTTGTTTATATGGTTTTATTTCAGGTGTTACTAGACCTGCTACTAAAAATAACTCAAAGAAGACAAAAAAACCTAATGGGGCTATCCAATGTATCCATGATCATGGCCCCTAATTTATTCTTGTCCCCGTCTAGTCGATCCAAAACCAAAGCAATCCGAGACCTAGAAATCAGTATGGCAGCTGGAACCTCCAACATTGTTATGATGCTCATCAAGTACCAGAAAATCTTATGGACAGTTAGTGTTGAATTTAATTTCATTGAAATTGTCTTTTATTGTTGATTACCCAAATAATTAATATTTTTCGTAAATTTTCTGAATTTGTTTTTAGGTGCCTTCCTTTTTACTTCATCAAATGAGGCATCAGAATGATATGGAGACCCAAAAGAAAGCACGAGAAAAATCTGTAAGTACAGGAGTTATATCTATCTAAAATGAAGAGGAGGATATTGATTTGGCACACTTTTCAGTCTGTGTCTGTTGTGAATTTTTTATCTGTTTTTTTGGAAAGGTGACCATTTTGTGAATTTAATTTGTAAAGAGCAGATCTATAGTGTTGGTGATTATCGTTGCTGTTAAGTTTCATTAAGATTCTTGAAGCTGTCTGCCAATTTCCCCAAAATACATATATACATTTTCATCATATGAAAAAAATACTGCATAAAAAATTCCCTTGTATTGGGAAGTTATTTAAATTTGAAAGATTAACCAACAAAGTCTTATTAAGGTGTCATATTTATAATAAGGAAATGTCCTGATATGTTTATACTTGTGTATACGTCATATGGTTACAATAGTTATTCATATTTTATTTGTTTTTTAATTATTTTTGAAGTGAATTGAAATAATTTTTTTCAGATCATGAAATTCCTTACTAGGAAAGACAAGTCAGATATTTACAAGAAACCTGCAATAGCAAATGAAGTAGGTTATAAAAGATACCATATTGGATCATTTATCAAATTTTTTTTATTACGTTTTAGTGTTACATTTGACAGCATAGTCATTCACTTGCTTAAAAAGTCTTAAGACATGTCTTAAAGAATTGACTTTTTGATTTAGAGTGACTTTGAGGATGGTGTTATCAGGGTGCAGGCACCCAGTCTTAATAAGAGCTGTACAGCAGTAAAGCTCAGTGAAGAAACAACAGCATGTGACATCATTGAAAAGTTCCGCATGGCTGACTTCACTCATAATGGAAGGTATGATTTACAGAGAAGAAAAATATAAAGATATTATAAAATGTAGCTAAGCAGTTACATGTATATTGTCAAATGATATTTTTGGCAATTATCTTGTATATTTTAGTTGAGAATTGCGATGGCTAAGATCCATTGAATGACACTTTACCAATAAATAAATGCTGAGCTGAATCAAATCAAGATAATTTTTCAAGCAAATTTTATTGATAACAAGATTATTTGATAAAAGAAAACTGCTCTTTTTAATCCTAGTGAAAATATAATTACTCTTTTTTTAGGCACAAGAAACGAAAAGATAATACAGCTCAAGGAACAACTAACTTTGCAGAAACAGATGCTCATTTATTTGAAGTTGGAGGAAACATTGGTATGCCAGATATATGTTCATGATGTTAAGTTGTTTTGTATGTAATATTTTTTGATGTGAGAAAATGATTCAAAAATGAAAATTCCTTGTTTTATTTCATTCTTTTTGTATATAGGTGAACGTTGTTTGGATCCACAGACCAATATGCTGGCATTATACCAGATAAATCCTAATGCTGAATGGATCATCCGTTCAGACCAGTATACTAGTAATATACCAGCTAAATCATAAAACTGAAAGACTAGTATGCTAGGAATTTACCAGCTAAATCCTAATGCTGAATGGGATCGGAGGATGGAAACAGTGTTGTGCTTTCAGATATTGCACAAATCCAGGGCATATGGTGTAAAATAAACACTTATTTGTATTATTGTTGACAGATAGTACACATATAAATTATTCGCAATCTGATGATCAAATCAATCTACAAGTGGTCATGTAGACCTTGTTCAGTATATACTATGTATGAAATCCAAACTTTATTGTTCTCATTACGTTGTATTGTATAATTTTATATTGGCTTTATATCTTTTTCTTCTAAGGTTGTGATATTTTTTGTCTCGGTTCCTCGGAAGTTATATTGTGGGTATTCTACATGTCTGTATTTTTAGAAAGGAGATAATTTTTTCTTGTATTTTTGCTTGAGGTGGAAGAAGGTAAATATTTGTGTATGTCAGAGAATGTATGGAAAATTTTGTTAAACTTAGTCTGTACAGATTAAATTGTGTACAGATTAAATTATGCTACATGCATTGATTCATGATTGCTCTAAATAATTTGAAAAAATGTGAACTTGTATAAATGTGCATGATTTGAAAACCCTAAAAGTTACACACCTGCACAGAAGATACATGTAGTTATAAAATTGCAAAAATGACTGTGAATAAGGTACAATTGTAACCATATGTCTACATGCACTGTTGCTCAGTTAATTCACAATTAATACCTCAATACCAGGCAAAATGGTTTTTCAAAAATTGAAAATTGCTGTGTTTTGTTAATTACATGACCCATAATTATGATTTACATGTATATTTAGGAGATCTTTCCATGATGCTAATACACATATTTCACCAACAATCAGTACTGTGCTGCTGCACTGAATTATTTCATGTATGAAGTTTGTTCACCATAAATATGGTGTTAATTAATGTAAACTACCAGGTTTGGCTTCCCATTTGCAAAGCCACATATGTCTACAAAAGTGTGTATTTTTTCCTGTACAATTCAGTGTAATACATATCATTATTTATTATGAGACATACAAACCATGCAAGTGATGATTTTTTAAAGCAGGTGATATTAAGATATACATTCCATGACTGAGATCCTTCTAGCACTTTTTTATGTGAGTATTGTTAAATGATTAATGGTAATTTTTACCACTGGTAAAAAGTGCATTTTTCTTTCGTCATATTTATATTTAAAGGTGCAAAAAGTTTTGATAATATTTTTATTTTGGGCGTGATGCACAATATAGTATGTCATTTTGTGAGTGTCTAACAGTACTGTAATATCTTGGAGAATTAAGCTGTACATCATTTACACCCTTATTAACACTTACCTGTAACTGAAAATGTATTTCTTCCCTATTTGTGTTGAATTTTTCCTATACATGTATATGAAACCTTTTCCCTTACCAGTACATGTACTTGAAATACCCTAGAAACAGACATCAGCTTCTCTAAGCAAATGTTGAAACTATACTATACATCTATTAGCATACCAGCTCTAGAGGTTAAGATCCATGCAACAACAAGACTAAAAAATATATTGAATTTGCCCATCTGGTTATCTTTTCTCAAGTTACCAATTATTTTGTTAAAAGTTTGGTCAAGAGTGCTATTTTTAAAAAAAAAGTCTAGTCACCATTTGAGTGCTTTAAATGTCAATCTTTGCCATTAAGCTATGCCATAAATGTGCCAACACACTGATGTAATTGGGATTGGTTACTATAGCTCTTGTAGGTATCCGTTATATGCTCAGCGGAAGTTAAAGACAACACATTCAAGAGATGGTCATTAAGTTTTATTTATTTTATGGAAAATTTTGTCCCTGTATTAAGAGAATTGGTTTTACTTTCTTTTTCTCTGCAAATAATATGAAAGTTTAAAGAATTGCTTTTGAAATAAAGGAAATCCTTTTTTCAGCAGTTAAGTGCTAATCAAGGATAAATGTACACTTAAATGGAAGGAACCTTCTCTAAGTAAAACCCATTTTATGTAGCTATTTTCTTTTTCATTTTACAGTGAATACATACAGTATGTGCTTTAAAAAAATCAGATTTTATCACTAGTAACGGCAACTTAATGAATTCTTAATAAAATAAAATAAATTATGGATGGGATAAAGTATTTTTATTGTCAGCATATCACTAGTTTGACTTTATTTAGAATTTATTGAATATGAAGACTTGGGTAGACTATGCCTTCTGTTAAGCTTTTATTAATACATATACTAAAGGAAATATGTAGTTCATTAGTATAGTGTAATTAACACTGTTGATTAAGATTTTGCATATACAGCCCTTCAATTTGACAATCATGTTTACACTCATCAAAGAATTCAGTGTTTATAGGCAAATGACATTTTTATAGATGTGATGAATACACGTACAAGCTAGTATTTATTATTTAATTTTTGGATTGGCATATTTTTTCTAGTTATTGGAAAGTGGTTTGTTTCAGTACGTGATCTGATGAAATCCATATTCTACTTTTTTGTATATTTCTTTTGTTTCATTGGGATGCTCAATTGTCACTTAATATTGATAAATTTTATGTACAGCAAGGTACTCCGATCTTCAGGTTCTGAAAATCAGGCATTGACTTATTGAAAATGCTCACAAAGTGTCTCTGTATTCTCAAAGAAATATGTTTTTACCCACGAAAATTCTTCAAGCTTAATCTTTAAAGTTAATCATATTTTATAGGGAAATTTAGTAAATCTCAAATAGGTTTTTAGGAAATGCAAATAACACACCTACTATGCATTTTTTCCAATTCAAATTTGACCAACAAGCACATTTTAGAATTAAAAGTCTTAGGTATTTGGGCTTTTAAAGAAATTGCATGATTTTAAAACATATAAGGTACGTACTTTATTGTTTCTTCTATTAACTTCGATCATTTTACAATATATTTGTATGAAAACTTTCCTATCATTGCATAACACCACAAATCATTTCTTATTTCATACCATGTTTATTAAGATTAATATTTCTTTCAGTAATTTTAAAACACAATAAAACCATTGACTTCTTATAAGAACTTTCTGAGAACTTGAAAAAAAAACCTTGAAGCACATTGAGATGAATAAAATGAAAATTGTTGCATGAAAAGATTCAATGTTCAATGTTCATTTTGGGACTTTTTGAATTAAATTATAAATTTAAGAGTTATCCCTCCTGGCTGAGGATCGGAGTGCCTTAATTTAATGTAAATAATGTAACACATACTAGTAGGTTATTTATCAATGTACAATGTAAAAGGAATTGAGAAAGTGATATTTTTTAGGGGTATATCTTTCTTACTATTTTAGTTCTTTGTAGACATTTTAAAATGTCTAGCACCATTACACGGTACTTTTAACTGATGAAAAATGGATTTATTTTATTTCAACAAATAATATTTTCAAGATTTTTATAAAGGGAGGTGGTTTGATGGGGATGGGGGGATGTTACCCCTATCTTATGACAACCTAGAAATGTTACTTGCAGATTGTTTAAAGCTTTAATATTGCCAAGCAGTTGTTAAAAATACATCTTTACTTATGATTACTGGATGGTAAATTGGTAGTTAATTCATTATGGTATTTTGTTTATGAGTTAGTATACTAGTACTAATGCAAATAAAAAGATGGTGGAACGAAAATGGACGTACTTTTATATATACTTACACTTCAGTGATAACGATTACAATATACTGTAGATAATGTAACAAATGTGGTTATCATGTGATGTTTGCAGGTACATAACACTAATTCACTTTATAATCTAAACACATTGTATTGTTAAAAGTTTGTTATGTCATATAAACTATTAATATTACATGTTTATTTTCCTGAATATTGTTATTAAATGTTCTATAAAAATTATGTTTTGTGTTAATGTTTTTATTTCTCGTTAATGTCAAACAAAGAGATATTAAACCATGTTTAAAAAAAGTAATGCATTGTTACTATCATAATGTTAAAAAACGTACATGATACTAATATGTTATTATGTTCTCATTGTCATATAATTGTTTTAATTTCCCTTTGTTTGCAAGAATTTTTGGGGGAAATGCGATTTTAAATTTTCTAAAAGTTCTTTAACTTTTTTTAGAACCTGGATCTGTTGTACACAACTGCTGGAATATAAGTGAAATAGTACGTATAATGTGTGTCATTTACATTTAACATTTTTAATGTCGATAGTATTGGAATTCTTTCCAGTCCACAGTATAATAAGGTAAAGGGGGTGGGACTTTTTAACCATACACAGAGACGTAAGCGTGGTCATGGACATTGGTCCTACAATAAACATTGCAATACATGACGTCTCTTTTGATTCGTTGCTACCTTATGTAAATAACAGTTCGGTCTACATCATATTCGCACCAAACTTTACTCTGTCCCTTTGAAACTTTTAAATAGTCTTCTTGAAAAGGCCAAGGAAAGTCCAATTTTTGATTCCTCGACACCAGAATATAGGCTCGGATCTGTGATTATGGATATTGCAAATCATAGGCGCACGTTTTACGGAAGAAAATGCAGCTAAAACAATCCGTCTTTTCCTTAAACTTCAATATACCAATGAAGGAATTGACGCGGTTAATATAAGTAATATTCTTAATCACAAAAAGGTCCAGTCTTGTATTCCGCCATATTTCAAGTTAAAGACTACATCTTGTATTTCCTACAAATATAAATCGACCATGCTTCCAAACTTTTCAATTACAAAAAAAACTTTACATGGCCTGGATACCGAGTATCTAAAACATAATCCTCCATCATGTTCATGTTCTTCTTCGCCCTATAACTATAATCCTGCTGGACAAGTTATTACAGGTGACATAAATATAGTTAATAATGAGAACCTTAAATCACTTATTTTAAAAGGTCCTAAATACAGGGAACCCCGATCCTTCAACTGGCGTCAGAATGTCATAAATATTTTGGATTCTGTTGAAAATTACGCCAGACGATGGGCCAGATATGAAAAAGAAGACGTTGACACCTTGTCAGAATGGTATAAATGTATCAGACCCATGTGAAAGTCGCGTATTAAAAGATTGAGGGGCAATATGAAACCATCTATCCTTCTGTGTTCAATAATCCAGAAGTGAAAAAAGAATTAGATAGATTACATGATCAGTACGTACTGGTCTCTGCCGAAAAAGCAGGTACATGTAACAAAATTGTCTTCGTTTGTAAGGCTTATTATATAAATTGTATTTTAGAAGAACTTGGATTTAATTCTACAAGTGGTAATTCTACTTATACTCATATTTCCCTTTCTAAGGAAGAAATTCTTCAAAATCATATGTCAGTTTTGAATATTTTAATATTCCACAGAGCCAAAATGAATTTGAACTACCCTAGATATATTGGATTCCGAGACTTCATAAGAATCCTTACAAACAAAGATACATTGCGGGTGTCCAATAAATAATCAACCAAGCCTCTTTCGTTACTCCTCACTAAGATATTGACAGTAGTGAAGGAAAAACTTCAAAAATACTGTGCAGCAGTATATTCAAGAAGTGGTGTGAATCGGATGTGGATGCTCAAAAATTCCAAAGACTTTTGGAAAATTTGAAAACGCAAGATTTTACCAAAATCAACAGCTTAAAAACTTAAGATTTTCGACTTTATACACAACCATTCCCCACGATCAAGTAATGTCCAGGCTTTTTGATATTGACAGCTGCTTTTTCAATGAAAATGGGACTCTTAAATGGACATATCTTGTCATTGGTCATTTGCAAAATTATTTTGTTAAAACACATTCTGAGTGCACACACAAGTACTCTGAAGTTGACATCAAAGAGATGCTTGAGTTTTTGACTGGCAATATCTACGTGGTTTTTGGAGACCAGGTATTCCAACAATCTATTGGAATTCTCATGAGTACCAATTACACTCCATTATTTGCAGACCTATTTTTATATTCATTTGAAGCAGAATTTGTGCAAAATCTTATGCGCGAAAAGAAGAAAACACTTGCTGTGGCCTTCAACTCGACATTTAGATATATATCGACGACTTATTGTCAATTAACAATGGTAATTTCCATTCCTACGTCGATACGATATATCCTGGTGAGCTTGAGATAAAAGATACCACAGAGTCTGACACATCTGTTTCATACTTGTATATTTTACTTGAAAAAGACGTTAATGGTAATCTAACAACCAAGCTATATGATAAATGGGATAACTTTAACATTTCTATCATCAATTTCCATTACTTATGCAGTAATATACCTTCATCACCTGCATACGGAGAATATATATATATATCTCTCAGTTGATTCGATATGCAAGAGCATGCTCTACGTATGAACAATTTCTAAAACGAGGTGCATTATTGACAAGCAAGTTGATGAAACAAGAATATCAGCAGTCTCGTTGAAAGTCATTATTTCCTAGGTTCTATGGACGATACAATGACTTTGTCAGCAAATGAAATTTATCATTGAGTCAAATGCTGACTGACGTTTTCCATACTAATTGTTAGTCCATTGTTTATACACTGAATTGACGACGGATTTTTCCGTTAATTCCCGATCATGACAGTGAGCACACGGCGGGTGTGACCGGTCAGGGGATGCTCACTCCTCCATGGCACCTGATCCCACCTCTGATGTTTCGGAGGTCCATGTTTGCTCTGCTTCTATTTTGTATTGTTTCATGGGCTTTGATATTGAATACTGTTCATTATCTCCATATCCTTCTTTTGTAGGTAATAAATATACAGGGGATGGAAGGGCATTTGTGGGAGCAGATAATGATAATATCCGTTTGTAGGGATATTTGTGAATTTTAAGAATCCAATAAACGTAGGGTAGCTTAATCTCATCTTGGTTGACGGGAATAATATAAAGTTTAAATACTAAAACGTTTTTTTTTTTTAAACTAACATTAGATAGTGAACTGCAAGTATCAGTTGGATTACCAGAGATAGAATTAAAACCAAATTTTCGAAAATAGAGTTATGATTTGAGACTTGCAAACAAATACGATATTATTGTCAGCCTTTTCGACTGGAACCATCCAAATTGTTCATGTAGTCTTACTCATTCTTTGATCATCTCCGATTTATAGAAACGGAAGCAATGTCTATTATGTCAGAAACAATAAATCCACAAAAAGTTTAGACATAAATATATTTGTGAGGTTAATTACCCTTCGTGGTATACCCGGAGATGCCATAACCGATATTATGCTTATTGATCCTAGAATATGTGAGGTACTAGTATGTGGAGATAATGAAGAGTATTCGAGCTCAAAAGACCATTAAACCTAAAAATGATAATAAAAGAATAGGAGCATAGCAAACAAGTACCTCTAAATCATTAGAGGTAGGATCAAATGCCATGGAGGAGTAGGCATCCGCCGTCATGTTCGGAAAAAACCCTGAAAAAATCCGTAGACAATTCAGTGTGTAAATAATGCCCTAACAATCAGTATAAAGAAAAAGTCAGTATTTGACTTAATGATAGATTGTATTTGCTAACAAGGTCATTGTTTCGACCACAGAACTCGTTGATTTCAAACGAGACTGCTTATATTTTTGCTTCATCAACTTCTTTGTCAATAACTTTCCTCGTTTTAGAATAGATTGTTGGAAGGCCTAGTCTCCAAAAACCACATTACAAGTATATACACTGTATGTATTGTCAAACAGAAACTCTTTTTAACATCTTTTTAATATAAACTTCAGAACACTTGTGTGTACAATAAGAAGGGTTTTAACAAAATAATTTTGCAAAGTATCAATGACAAGATAAATACATTTACGATTTCCATTTTTATTGCAAAAGCAGCTCTCAATGTTGTCAGAAAGCCTGTACTTTAATTTATCATGGGGAATACTTGTATATTTAGTTGAAAAGTCGTTAGTTTTTTTTATGTTGTTGCTTTTGGTAACATTTTGCGATTTCAAGATCCAAATGTTCCTTGGAATTTTTTAGTATCCACATCTGATTTACACCACATCTAGAACATATCGTTGCACAGTTCTATGAAGTTTGTCCTTCGTCCTACGCATATGTCTGCATTTTGTTTGCTGCAACTGCTGCTTGTTGTAATTTGGAGTCCCCTTTATACGCTTGGCGACCCCTTGCTGCTTTTACATATGCCACGACCAACAATCGCCATTACAATCACGTTTCTCTTAATTCCTCTATTTATTAAATAATATTGTTAAAAAGACTGAAATTTACGGAGATAATGAACATCTTTATTGGAAATGCATCTGCCAAAGTAGAAAAGTCGTAAGTTTTTAAGCTGTTGATTTTGGTTAAATTTTGTGATTTCAAATTTTCTAAAAGTCCCTTGGAATGCTTAAGCATCCACATCTAATTTACATCACTTCTCGAGCGTATTATTGCAAGTACACCCGAAGGTATTCTTCATATTTTAGTGAGGAGTGAAGATTAAGAAGCTTGGTGGAACATTTACATGAAGTTTTCGAATCCAATATATACAAGGTAATTCAAATTTATGTTGGTTGTTGGGAATATTAAAAATATTCAAAATTAACATATGATTTTGAAGATTTTCTTTCTTAGATAGGGAGCTATCATAATTGATTAAAGTTGGATAAGCACTATTAGAATTTCACCCCAACCCCTCTAAAATACAATATAGATAAAGAGCCGTACAAAGATAATATTTTTTTTTCCTGCTTTGTAAGCAGGAACCAGTGCATACTGATCGTGTAATCTATAAAAAAATATTTTTACTAAAGAAAACAGTTCATCAATATTTAATTTGATAAAATAACACGCTAGTAAAAAGACAGCACAGAAACAAAGGAATGAATTTTAAAACGGTCTTTGCTCATCTACAAAATAATGAAAAATATAAATAATGCAATCAGAATAATATACATGTAATACATTTTCTCTTGATAAAATAAATATCAATTTATAATACAGCAACTGTATCATATAAAATAACCATATACTTAAGGGTGATGGCCGCTGTCATGGTGGCAGGAGCAATGGCCATTATGACATTCAGCAACCTGGTTATCTGCGCATGTGCAGTCGGTAGGAGCTGTGCATGTTTCCTTTTCTCTTTTCCCACTAAATACATATTAATTTTCTTAACACAGTGCTAAATGTAGTATGAATAAGATGAAAATAAAGAATTTCCAATATTGGATTAAAGTAGTGGCAATTCATTTGCTTTGATCATTGTTTTCAATGAAGACCGGATGGAGTAAATTCTTTCTACATATTGGCTTTTGCTCTGCTCTCAAAGAATATTTATTGATAATAACAGTAACACTGGATGTTGTAGATAAATAAATATAGATAGATATATATTTTTTTAAGTTCTGAAATGGATAATGGCAGGTCATGGGTTAAGGAATTTTTGAGATTTTATGAACAGGAATCTGACAAAACCATGACTCACGGATGATGTGGTGGGTTGTGGTTTCCGTTGTCATGATGACCGTCATGGTGGCAGTGGCACATTCCGTTGTCACATGTGGCCACTTCATGGTCTCCTGTGCATGTGCAGTCGTCACTTATAGTGCAAGAAGTCGTCTGGCGTCTTCTTTTAATTAAATTGATACATTTAGCTTGCATCACTGATACTCTGTTAAGCTATTTGTTAATGATTACTAGTGCTTGGTTAACGACATTATGATTTTAGAAATCTTGAAATGAAAATGTTGAGGATTAAAAAAAGTTAAACAATGCCAAATAAATGGAAAAATAGGAATACAGGGCACAAAAAGAAACCCCTGTAACACAAGAAGCGGGATAACGCGCGGAGGAGAATGGGATCTCCTCTGTCAAGAGAACACCCCGCCCTAAACCTCCTGTGTTGATTAGAGTAAGGGTTAATACGTCGTCACATCAATGTAAAAACAACAGTCTAACAACTCATATCATACATATCAGTCATAAAAGGACCCTGCATCAAGTTACAGTAAATATATCCTCACTAAGTTGCCAACTTTCCTCTCTACACTTCACACATATTTGGGAAAATGGCAAAAAAAGGTGCTAAAATGAGGGGAAAAACCATATAGTATAGCATTTATAAATGTATACTAAAGAATATAAGTAAAACCATGACTCACGGATGATGTGGTGGGTGGTGGTGTCCGTTATCGTGGTGAGGATTATGGTGGCAGTGGCACATTCCGTTATCACAAACGGCTATTTCATGGTCGCCTGTGCATGTACAGTTGTCACTTGTAGTGCAAGAAACCGTCTGGCGTCTTCTTTTTAATAAAAAAACAAACAACCAACAATTTTCAATTTTGTTTTAGTGGGGATATTTTTTGTCTGGTTTTAATGTTAAATTTGCCATCCTATAACTCGTATAAATTTTGAAAACCTCACAGAGTTTAATAAATAAACTTGGCTTACAGATGATGGCCGCCATCATGGTGACATGAGCAGTGTCCATGGTGACAGGCAGCAACCTGGTTATCAGCACAAGTACAGTCAGCAGCGGTTGTGCAGGAGGCGACTTGTCTTCTACTCTCACAAAAATGTGAAAAATATAATTATTCATTAGTACAAAAAACTAAACATTTTCAGTAAATAAAATCAATAATTTATGTGTTGATGGCACGCATAGATCTATATGTTGGCGGGTAAACAATCTTGTAGTTATACTGAACATTGAAACCAACTACAATGGTATTATATTACTTTTTACGCATTTTCTATGGAATACGTGTACTTTGGATTGTGTATAATCGTTGTCTTGAAGGTTATGTCTGATTTTTAAATATATTATTTAGTAACATTGATTCAAATGATTAGATAGTGACCATAACAGCTGCAATGTGTATGATGATTAAATCTTCCCATACAATCTTTATACAATGAGCAGTCTTTGCAAAACACATTTATTCATTGTTTAAATTGAAGAGTCCTTTTGGATAATATGATAAGCATGATAAACAAATATTTGTATGGTAAACATTTATAATATAGGTAACTAATGTACACGTACAATCCACCGACTTGGACCTGACATATACGTTTTTTCTATGAAAATAGAGCGCTTTTTATAGATTAAAGGAGGCCATTATACATTATGGCAGAGCACGTCTGAAAAAAAATTACAAACACAAGAATCAATATTGTGTCCATGGTAAAAAAACAGCAATTGTGTTGCTGGCGCATGTACAATCAGCATTTGTTGTACATTGGCTAGTTTTCTTCATTAATTTATAAAATACATTTTCATAAAAAAACAATTAGCATAAATTAATTACTTATTTAATGCTATGATATTCGGAGAGGATCATCAAAAATATGTGCAAGGTGAATTTATGCATCGGAATTATTTCAATTCGTGGACAATAGTCAAAGAAATTCAACGATTTATCTACTAGCAGTAGTATCTTGTGATGTTTTCATATCTACAGAGGATTTTTTGAATCCATACTCACACAAGATTTGTTTAATTTATAAGGATGCAAGTTCTTGAGTAAGGATGGCCCATGAAATTCATGAGCATTGGACCCTCAACGAGGAAATTTGAATCTAAAATGAACTAAGCAATATTGAGATATGTCTTTGTGATGTAAACTTTCCCGACATAGTTTTCAAAATTGTCCAGTTATTCCGCGAATAAATTGTTTAAATTCTCAAAAAATTTGACGATCGTCGGAATGGCACAGTAGTTAGAGCACTTGATTTGCTCTAGACCCGCGGTGTAAGAACTTCCTCCTTACATCGGGGTTCAAATTCCACTGCCAGACGTATACTCCTTCACAAGAGACCGTATAAACCAAGATGCCGTGTTGCAGTAGGTCCTGGCACGATAAAGACGCCTCACTACTCAGTGACCCAGACTACCGAGTATAGATGAAAAATAGCGGCATGCAAGCGGTGGTAATTCAATATGAATGGACATTTTCGAAAGGAAAGGAAAACAATCAAACAAACAAGATTTTGATGCATAGTAATGACTTACGGATGATGGCCGCCATCATGGTGACATGAGCAGTGTCCATGGTGACAGGCAGCAACCTGGTTATCAGCACAAGTACAGTCAGCAGCGGTTGTGCAGGAGGCGACTTGTCTTTTTCTATCATATAAATTATGAACTGGCAACTTTAATAATATTATTAAATAAATTGTAAGGACAATAAATCGAGTATTAAATATACGTAAAAGTTATAATCACAGTTATGGTGATGGTACCCAAGATATTTATGCGTGCAACTCATCCAGCCAGAAGTAAGACCATAGCAGCAGACAAGATAATTTGATTTTTTTTCTTAACATTTCTCATAGACTTCCCTTGTTTGATTTATTTTGATGTTTAAAATGCTATATATGTCTATTCAAAAGGCATCCCACAAACGTTTCTATTTACTTGTAATGATTTATTATGATATATCAGAAGTCTGCAAATTATTTTAACTGCTTTCTGATTGGCTGAAATGTCTGTCCTCTATGAGAAACCAAGATACATAAAACAAAATTCTGCTCGGTACAACCAGCTTATTGTTTAATGCACTAAAGACCGGTTCATATTCAGGATATCATCGGTATAAAGTCTTTATTCTCCTATATTGATGTTTTATTCGAAATAAATGATTTTAAAAATGCTATCAAATTAATTTTTCATAGTTAGGAAGAAATTTGCCATTTTCAATGAATGCACACTTTATGTAGATGCACATCCTGTTGGTGTATTTGCTATCTGTTCATTACATGACTAGGATTACCTTGAATACTTATCTTATATCTATGTCTGATAATTTTAAGTGAACTTATTCTATATGCACTTAAATTGAACCCATAAAATAAAACAATATTCACAACAGATAAAGACATAACAATTCATTCCTCTTAAAGGAAAAGATATTCATATTATCAAAAGAAAAGTGAAATGACTCACTAACCACCCCTGTATTTAATATTTCTGGAAGAAATATTACTTACTGCTGGCTAAAATCTTAAAGGAACATTATATATACTTTGCCTATTTTGAAATGATCCTATTAAAATGTATCAGAATTTAATGAATACAGTTTCTCAAATTAGTTATCTATAACATGAATTTCAGATCTAATCTCACCCGTTGTGTCCACAATCACAGTGTCCATTAGAGTTACATACACCTGTCTGTCCGTCAGGACATGTGCACTGATGACCATTATGACAAAGAGCACGTCTGAAAAATTAACACAAATAATCAAACGTAGAACATTACACTGGAATCTAAATGGATTCTCAAATGAATCTAGACTCATAACATACGGATGATGGCCGCTATCATGGTGACATGAGCAGTGTCCATGGTGACAGGCAGCAACTTGGTTGCTGGCACATGTGCAATCAGAATCTACTGTGCATTGGCTCGCTTGTCGTTTGCTTTAATCAAAAAATGAACTTAGACATAAAATGTAGTCTCAACATCTATTTGTTCTAAGGTTTTTTAATCATTTCAATTCTGTAAACGTTTTATATACCCTAAAATCTTGAAAATAAGCCGCGGCTTATTTTAAGTTTTGGTAAGAAATTTGGGGCTTATTTTCAAAACCGTCTTATTTTCAAATCGCGTCTTATTATCAGTACAAAAATCTGGTAAGCGGTGAGAGCATAATTTATTTAAATTTTACACCAAATTCAAGACATTTTAAAAACGAATCCTAAGTGGCAATGCGTTCTATCATATATATAGTTTAAACAAACGCCTGATTATACACAAACAAGAGAGTTTGATGGATGATCCATTAGGGCTTACGGATGATGGCCGCTATCATGGTGACATGAGCAGTGTCCATGGTGACAGGCAGCAACTTGGTTGCTGGCACATGTGCAATCAGAATCTACTGTGCATTGGCTCGCTTGTCGTTTGCTTTAAACACATTCAAATATCAAATCAATTACATGTATTAATTGTTTTCCCATATACTATTTAACTTTCATGTCAGTTTTTAATTTTAAAAAATTCAAATCTAATCTCACCCGTTGTGTCCACAATCACAGTGTCCATGAGAGTTACATACACCTGTCTGTCCGTCAGGACATGTGCACTGGTGGCCATTGTGACAAAGAGCACGTCTGAAAAAATTAACACAAAATTATTCATTTAAAGCAATACCAAACATTGGAATCAGAACTGATTATGAGATGACTTTACACTTTTGACGTACGGGTGATGACCGCTGTCATGATGACACGTGCAGTGTCCATGGTGACAAGCAGCAACTTGGTTGTCAGAACATGATGTGCAGTCAGCATCTGTTGTACACTGGCTAGCTGGCTCGCGTTTTCTTAATTCAAGAAATAAAAAAGCTGTTATTTGCTAACGATCATAAAATTCGTAATTGGCTTTATTTAACCTACTCTATTCTTTCCTTCTGACAACACCTCTCCCAACTTTTTTTTATCACAAAATGTTTATGTTCCCTTTACAGACAAAATGTTTGAAGCATAATAAATGACTTACGGGTGATGGCCGCCATCATGGTGACATGAACAGTGTCCATGGTGACAGGCAGCAACCTGGTTATCAGCACAAGTACAGTCAGCAGCGGTTGTGCAGGAGGCTACTTGTCTTCTCCTGTCATAAAATAGCTATATAATACTTTTAAAAGTTAAAAAATATTATAAACCGAGCATAAGACACACCGAATGACATTATCGTTGTGATAATGATATGGACAACAACAATGTTAATAACCCAGCAATCTGACATTTTCTATCATCTTTCCAATGGTATATTACTGTACAATCTATCAAACATCGCCAATGATAGAAAACAAGCAATGTATTACAGATAATTTTGGTTACATTTTCAATGGTATATTGTTTCACATCTATCCTCAAATTCTTTTATGAAATTTAGATAATCATTATCAATACATTTACACTTTATTTGGGTTTTATGTGATAACTCTTTGGAAGTAAGATAAGTTGATCTCTTGATGATTAAACCTGGATGTTAATTTTGCTAAGTGAAAGGACAACAGCCTAATATACATACCAATTTCGTACAATTGTCTTTGGGCGGGGAATACATCGAAATTAAAATGTTAAACATGGGAGGCCTCATATATACTAAATTTAATAGTCAGCGTTTTCTTTCAAATTTAAATTTGCAATTGTATTTTACAAATTAAATGTAAATATATTTAAACACTGTCTTAGCTTATTGGGTATGCCATGGACCCCACCGACAGTTTGAAACGTAGGATATTTTATGCATAACAGGTTTTGCCCCGTCATGCAAATTATCCCACGATTCCAAATATCGTTGATGTCCTGACTTATTCAAACAAACAAGACAGTCATTCCAGTCAGTCTAGACAGATATCCTTTTGTGAACAAACATTGTACTTCTAATTTTTTTAAGGTAATAGTTCCTTTTAAACCGTATTTTTCAAATGAACTTAATTAATATCTCAGTCATAGACATATCAGACTTATAAAGGTTCTCTGATTCCCCAATAAATATTAATATAAAATATATAATAAAATTTTTAAACAACAAGGAACAAGTGAATTTCATTCATGTTTTGCACACTTTTGTACTGGAGATCAAATATAGCTACAACTTACACTGGAATATTTGCAGTCTGTTACGTGCACATTTTTGACCTGACATACCCGGTAGTTAACGTTAGTCCCTGATATCTCTAGTAATTTATCTCCAAGCCAAACACTGAACAAAATATTATACATTTAATAGATAAAAAATTGATTTTATACTTTTTATCTTAAACTATTTTATTCTGTACTAGTCTATTATTTTTATTTTATTTTAGGTTGAAATCATGTAATATATATAAAGCATATAATACATCAATAGGGTGATCAAAAGACATCAAACGGCATTTCTAGAGCTACGTGAAACACAATTCCTTTTTGCAGTGTTATTTTTCTTCCAGTGAGAGTTATACTTCTTAAAACACATATAAGTCATCAAAGTTGTCTGAGTTGAACAAGTCAGTTTTGCTTCAAAACTTAAACACTCTCTAAACGACTGCATTGACGTTACGAAAATCATGCTTTATAACGTAAAAATATTGAATTGATTTATTTCATTTTTAACGTAGGATACCTATCACTCTTTCCTGATGCCACATTTGCTTATTTACTTTAATTGAGGATGCTGGCAAAGAAAGTATTTATCGAATACAATGCTTAAGTTACTTTAATTAGTTTAAAAGACCGTATTCTCTAGATTGTTTCGTATTAAAAAAAATTTCAATTATGAAAGATTATTTGGATTAGAAATCTTTAGTGTAAAGCATATGAATGTATCAAATGGCTTTTATTTCAAACTTTTTGATTTATACATTAATTAAGCAAAATCAATTGTGCAATAAAATTCCAGCTGTGTTGCACATCTTGCATATCAGGAAAATCTTTGTGAAGTGAATGCTTTTAGTTTTTTAAGTAAAAAACATGCTTCAACTCAAACTTGGTCGTGGATAATGATTTTTTTCATATTTTTTGTTAGGCCATTATATACACAACGAATTATATACGGATTGTCCGCCGTTTTTCCGGATCACAGGAAGCTCACTGTGGTATGACGGATCGGCAGTGATGCTTACTATTCTATGGCACTTGAACTCACCTCTGTTTTAATCCTAACTCTAATTCAAACATTTTAGCCTCACATCTTTAATACCAAACCAAGCTTGTTTTAAGATTGTCTACAGTGACTATGTATAGTAGTTTTGTTTATTTCGTTTTGTTGAAAGTTTTTGCTTTTTTTACGATGAAAGAAGAATAGAATTAGAAATATTTAGTGTAAAGCGTGCAAAAGTCCCAAAAGGATTTTATTTCTTCCATTTATACATTAAATTAGTTAGTCAGTTAATTAAAAAAAATATTCAAATCCATTCTCACCCGTTGTGTCCACAATCACAGTGTCCATTGGAGTTACATACACCTGTCTGTCCGTCAGGACATGTGCACTGGTGGCCATTATGACAAAGAGCACGTCTGAAAAATTAACACAACATTATTCATTTAAAGCAATACCAAACATTGGAATCAGAACTGATTATGAGATGACTTTACACTTTTGACGTACGGGTGATGACCGCTGTCATGATGACACGTGCAGTGTCCATGGTGACAAGCAGCAACTTGGTTGTCAGAACACGATGTGCAGTCAGCATCTGTTGTACACTGGCTAGCTGGCTCGCGTTTTCTTAATTCAAGAAATAAAAAAGCTGTTATTTGCTAACGAACATAAAATTCGTAATTGGCTTTATTTAACCTATTCTATTCTTTCCTTGTGACAATAAAAAAGCTGTTATTTGCTAACGAACGTAAAATTCGTAATTGGCTTTATTTAACCTATTCTATTCTTTCCTTGTGACAATACCTTTCCCGACTTCTTTTTATTACAAAATGTTTATGTTCCCTTTACAGACAAAATGTTTGAAGCATAATAAATGGCTTACGGGTGATGGCCGCCATCATGATGACATGAACAATGTCCATGATGACAAGCAGCAACCTGGTTATCAGCACAAGTGCAGTCAGCAGCGGTTGTGCAGGAGGCTACTTGTCTTCTCCTGTCATAAAATAGCTATATAATACTTTTAAAAGTTGAAAAAATATTATAAACCGAGCATAAGAGACACTGAAAGACATTATCGTTGTGATAATGACATGGACAGCAACAATTTTAGTAACCCAGCAATCTTACATCTTCTATTATCTTTCCAATGGTATGTTACTGCACAATCTATCAAACATCGCCAATGATAGAAAACAAGCAATGTATTACAGATAATTTTGGTTACATTTTCAATGGTATATTGTTTCACATCTGTCCTCAAATTCTTTTATGAAATTTAGATAATCATTATCAATACATTTACACTTTATTTGGGTTTTATGTGATAACTCTTTGGGAGTAAGATAAGTTGATCTCTTGATGATTAACCCTGGATGTTAATTATGCTAAGTGAAAGGACAGCAGCCTAATATACAAACCAATTTCGTACAGTTGTCTTTGGGCGGGGACTACATCGAAATTAAAATGTTAAACATTTTAATTTCGATGTAGTTGGGAGGCCTCATATATGCTAAATTCAGTAGTCAGCGTTTTCTTTCAAATTTAAATTTACAATTTTATTTTACAAATTAAATGTAAATCTATGGAAACACTGTCTAGCTTATTGGGTATGCCATGGACCCCATCGACAGTTTGAAAAGTGGGATATTTTATGTATAACAGGTTTTGCCCCGTCATGCAAATTATCCCACGATTCCAAATATCGTTGATGTCCTGACTTATTCAAACAAACAAGACAGTCATTCCAGTCAGTCTAGACAGATATCCTTTTGTGAACAAACATTGTACTTTTAGTGTTTTTTTTTTAAAGGTAATGGTTCTTTTTAAACCGTATTTTTCAAATGAACTTAACATCTCAGTCATCGACATATCAGACATATAAAGTTTCTCTGATTCCCCAATTAATATTAATATAAAATATATGATAAATTTTTTAAACAACAAGGAACAAATGAATTTCATTCATGTTTTGCACACTTTTGTACTGGAGACCAAATAAAGCTAAAACTTACACTGGAATATTTGCAGTCTGTTATGTGCACGTTTTTGACCTGACATACTTATCGTTAGTCCCTGATATCTCTAGTAATTTATCTCTAAGCCAAACACTGAACAAAATATTATACATTTAATGGATAAAAAATTGATGTTATACTTTTTATATTAAACTATTTTATTCTGTACTAGTCTATTATTAATTTTTTTAGGTTGAAATCATGTAATATATATAAAGCATATAATACACGTTATCAATAGGGTGATCAAAAGACATCAAACGACATTTCTAGAGCTACGCGAAACACAGTTCCTTTTTGCAATGTAATTTCTCTACCAATGACAGCAATACTTCTTAAAACACATATAAGTCATCAAAGTTGTCGAATTGAACAAGTCAATTTTGCTTCAAAACTTAAACACTCTCTTAACAACTGTATTGACGTTACGAAAATCATGCTTTATAACGTAAAAATATTGAATTGATTTATTTCATTTTTAACATAGGGTACCTATCACTCTTTCCTGATGCCACATTTGCTTATTTACTTTAATGGGGGATGCGGGCAAAGAAAGTATTTATCGAATACAATGCTTAAGTTACTTTAATTAGTTTAAAAGACTGTATTCTCTAGATTGTTTCGTATTAAAAAAAAATTCAATTATGAAAGATTATTTGGAATTAGAAATCTTTAGTGTAAAGCATATTAATGTATCAAATGGCTTTTATTTCAAACTTTTTGATTTATTCATTAATTAAGCAAAATCAATTGTGCAATAAAATTCCAATTGTGTCGCACATCTTGCATATCAGGAAAATCATCTTTGTGAAGTGAATGCTTTTAGTTTTGAAGTAAAAAAAATGTTTCAACTCAAACTTGGTCGTGGATAATGATTTTTTTCATATTTTTTGTTAGGCCATTATATACACAACGAATTATATATGGATTGTCCGCAGTTTTCCCGATCACAAGAAGCTCACGGTGGGTGTGACGGATCGGCAGTGATGCTTACTATTCTATGGCACTTGAACTCACCTCTGTTTTAATCCTAACTCTAATTCAAACATTTTAGCCTCACACCCTAAATATCAAACCAAGCTTGCTTAAAGATTGCATACAGTGACTATGTATAGTAGTTTGGTTTATTTCGTTTTAATGAAAGTTTATGCTTTTTTACGATGAAAGGACAATAGAATTAGAAATATTTAGTGTATAGCGTACAGAAGTCCTAAAAGGCTTTTACTTCGTCCTTTTATACATTAAATTAGTTAGTCATTTGATTAAAAAAAATATTCAAATCTAATCTCACCCGTTGTGTCCACAATCACAGTGTCCATTGGAGTTACATACACCTGTCTGTCCGTCAGGACATGTGCACTGGTGGCCATTATGACAAAGAGCACGTCTTAGAAATCAAACACAAATAAACAATTATAGTCAATTACACTGGAATCAAAATAGATGCTAGAATGACTCTACACTCATAACTTACGGGTGATGGCTGCTGTCGTGGTGACATGTGCAGTGTCCATGGTGACATTCAGCAACCTGGTTGCTGGCGCAAGATGTGCAATCAGTATCTGTTGTACACTGGCTTGCTTGTTGGCGTTTACTTAAATTATCAAAAAAAGTTATATTGAAATTATAGTTAAAAAGGACCTAAAGTTGTATATTTTCAATTTATATAGATGAAAGATTTTTTAAAACAAAAATCAAACACAGTGTATTTCAAACTTTAAAATTAAAGGTTGTGATAAAAACGATTCTTATTAAAAAAAATAATAATAATGAGCTAAATAATGAATAAGATTATGATACGGTTTTTACCTTACACCGGCGAAAGCCAACCCTGAAGAGGAACATAAAGAACATTTCAATGAATCATATTCACATCAAAATTTTCGACTCACTTATTAGATTTAATTACATGTTCCTTGTCTTGATAATTAAAAATATTAGATCCTACAGAGACTATAGTTATATATACTTCCCACATCTCAAAACAGAATGTAGTGTCTCTCAGATATATTAAGCATGCTTAAAAAATTGTGTATATGTACATTATAAATTTTGCTGAAGGCATCTATCGCAAATTAAATTACTATATTTTTTTTTAAAGATATGGATGAAGAAGTCTTAGTCAGCACTGCATTCGTGAAAAGGGATTTTGCAGGTTGACTTTTACGAATCTATTCTGCTATTTCAAGTAAAGTTAAGTGTTTGCAGTTCTTATAAAACCTTGAAAAATTCCAATATACAAACCTGCAAAAGCTACTACTGCAATGATCTGATAAATCCTCATTGTTACGTGTGATTAACAACAAAGATTACACCTAGAATACGCTTAAATATGATTTGTATCGTGCCGTCCTTCTGTCGTGATCAGCAAAAGACCTTGTTTCCTAAACTGTATGACCATTTCTTCATGATATAGCCGGATTCTGGGTCAAAGTACGGCAGAATTTTTCACCAGGACCTTGGAATTTTATTTGTAATAAGACGTTAGAAAAGGGAACGTGCACACACTCTCACATAGAGACTTACACACATGCTGAGGGAGATAGAAAGAGAAGAACATACTAGTAATTAAATGCAACTTTAATGTTACAGATTTATCTTTGTATGGTTGATGGTAAAGATTACTTATTACCTTCAATTGACCCTGGAGGAAAAGATAGATACGTAAAAAAAATTGTTGAGAATTCTGATAATTTGTGGCATAAAAAATCTAAAGTAATGCAGGTTGTGTTTTTGAACGGAATATATATATATAATTTACAACTCGACAGAAAAATCTTCTTCAAGAAAAAAAACTGGAAAGGGTATGGTCCAACTTCGTAGACAAGGAAAAGGTCCAACTTTTGTCAAGAAAAAAAAATACATCCGGTCCAGGGTAAAGGATTTTCTAAAAATACAAGAAGGGTGCATGATATTCTAATTTAATGTTTATATTTCAAAATTAATTAAATTAAAACAATAGATTCCTGATTAAATCATTGAAATAGTCCATAATACCTTTTTACACTAACCAAACAACCTCGATCAGGAATCAAGGTTCGGTATTTTGAGAAGTTCAAGACCTTGAATTCATCAGCAATTCAAGAGATAAGGAAATTGCGTTGTGGTGATTTTCATATTCTTCCTGTATTCTTGTGCCAAAACCTACTGCTACTGGAACTTCGGTTTACATTTCTCATCAGAACAACCAAACGTACTGCCATCAATGTAAGTATGTTTTCTCTTCGACAAAAGGACCAAACACTCTAACCACATTGTTGGAATGTGTGTATTCAACAGAAACTTTTGAGTTTATTCACATAAGCCTTATTTGGGTCCAAAAATTTACCCCCAAACAACCGGGAATGTAATAAATGTTTTTGTTAAACATCCAGCGTACGAGGGGTTATCAAAAAGTTCGTGGACTGAGGCTATAAAATGAGTACTATGAAGTTTGTGCTTTCAAAATATATAAGGAATATATAACAACATAAAATAAAAAAATGTTGAAAATTTTAGCTCGATATGTTTATTATTTGCCAAATTATTATAAAACAAAAAGGAAATGATATGATCACCCGGCGCTGTCGCCGTTTAGTTTCATGACTTCCGACAACGTTATTGTATTTCAATGTCCGCTTCTTCTACCTCATACACTTATTTTGATGAGATTCCCAGGAGCTTAGTAAGGATTTAAACCGGTCTTGTTAATATGAATTTACAATGTCATGAACAGTGGCTTTCAATGCGTATAATATTGCAAATGGATTTATACATTTGGAGAGATTCTTGCTTTATTGTGCCAGCATATTTTGCTTTTTGGAGTTTAATATCTCCAACACATGATAACGTCATTTTTTGGTGTGATTGATTTTTCACACCTTGACTACAAATGGACATTAAATGTACATCCCTTTTCTCTCTGAATCTATTTTAGCATTGAAAACAAGTACTCTGGACGCATATTATTTTTCCGTAGCCCATTTAACATTTCCTAGGTCTATACCAGTTTTTTAAGGGGCAAACTATATAGAGTGTTGGAAAAGGAAACCCCTCCCCCCTTTTGACGTCATTTTTAAGACAATATTTGTTTGGGCACTCCATGTAAAATTTAGGATAAAATTTCATAGAACTTCCAGAATGATGTAAAAATTCCAGAATTTATGGAACAATAGGTCACAACACATATCTGAATTAACGAGATTTTTGGATTTCAAATGTTTATATCAAAATAGTTTTTTCCTCAGTTACAACCGAGGTCGGAAAAACGTCGTGTTCAAGGTTGCGCCGCCTGGACATACCATTGCATACAAAACATGACTAATTTATTAAAAAACGAAATTGATGATTTGTGGTTTACTCTATAGATCGAAAAGATGATGATAACTAGATATTTTAAATTCCATTGATGTACCTAAAGCGGATTTCACTTCATGGCGCTAGTCCACGAACTTTTGATAGCCCCTCGTATATACAGAAAAATGTTGCTACACTGTGTCATTATATCCAATATAAAAACAAAAAATAGTTATATTGTAGAGTCAGGATGCTTAATACCCAGCAGGCACACAACATTGAATAAACTTTGAATCAACGTTTCTATGTTGATTCAACATTGATTTTATGTTAGATTTTGAAAATTTGTATCAACGTTGAAGTCTTAACATTGAATCAACATTGACAATCAACGTTGATTATATGTTGAAAAACAGTTGATTCAGCATTTATTCAATTATTTATTTTGGAAAGGGGGGGGGTGTCATATAGTAATAATATACTTACTTAAAATTTCAAATGTTTTATTGCATGGTTGCTAAGATGCCTTCGTAATTGTTGAAGGGAAAGCGACCCTCTGATAAGACAGATAACTTTCGCAGTACAAAATAGTAATACTACTCACAGTTTTCATAATCAGTTTCCTGAGACCTCTGAGTAGTTAATTTGACGAGATCAAACATGGGATGGAAACATTACTTTCTATTTCTTTTGCAAATTTCTTTGTAATTTTTTTATTATATATAACAATAAAACATTTAAATCCAACATCAAATGACTTATAAATTGAATAAGTTGTATCTTTTTAAGCACCATTTTAAAAATGGTTTAATATTTCAAGTACTTAATACAGTATTTTAATTAGAATGACTTTTTTTCACATGAAGAAATATTTAGAAGAAAGATAACTCCTCATCACAGATATATTTTTTTCTTACAACCACATACAACATTGTGATTTTCTGACTTAGGAAACATCGCTCCATGATGTTTTCTAGCATGATTTAAATACATGTAGGTATGATAGTAAGTATTATTTTCATATGCACCTCATATACTATATTTAATGTTGTGGCAATAAATCGTTACTCTTTCTATTCTCTGTGTTCAATTTCTTCATTTCAAGATCTGCACATAAAAATCATTTCTGAAAAAAAATAAGCAGCGCTTTATACTTCAAACTATTTTCCATGTGGCTCTAATGTTATTGTTGCTTATGATCAATATTATAAATTAAAACTGTCTAAGGTGAAATTTATAGCAGAGGGTCGGGACCCCTTAAATGAAAACATACGGTATATTACTATATGAAAAAAAGAAGATATATTGTAAACAGTAAGTGCTTAATTTCCTATCAATAGTTAATTGTGTTACAATAATTTTCACCAAAATACATTTTATAAATTAATCATGTTACAAAACCCGAGCATTTACAAACGTTTTTTATTTTCACATGTGGTCATGAAATAGTCCAGAACATGAAACCATTCCAAGGTATGATGCAAATCTTATACGGTACAACTTTTGAAGCACCAGATATGCATTTCGACAAATTATGTCTCTTCAATGATACTAGTACTCTGACATGCCGAAATGATTTCTTTAAAGAGTATTTTTTTAAAAATAAATCCTGGTGTTGAGTCCTGAAGGTTGTGTTATGCTGTCTTTTTGAATATTTTCCGGATGTCCAACTGCGTATGCTCTTAATTCGTACTTTGGCAAATTCGTACTGAATTCATATTTATCATTGAATGTGTTAAATTCCTATATTTACCATCCTTGTTAGTTATAATAGTTAGTAATGATATGCGGTAGTGCGACTTTGTCAAGTCCGACCTCGTTATGGTCCGACAGTGTTATAGTCCGACACTATCATAGTCCAAATTATCTATCAGCGAAAAACAGGATTGGCCCGCTCAGCGAAGATCCGACGTTGAATCAATGTTGGTAATTCAACTCAATTTGAATTCAATATTGATTCAACGTTAAATTTTCAACGTTGAAAAGTCAACGTTGAATCAATATTGTATCTAGATTTATCAACGTCTAAACCCAACTTCAACTAATATTCAATGTTCAAACAACGTTGTGTGCCTGCTGGGTATATAATGGACACTTGATATGTTAATATTCACAATTTTAAACTTTAAAAAATCCAGAAAAGTTGAGCAGTTGACTTTATTATTATTATTACTAAGATTACAATAAAAGCAATCCTTTATTTTTTAGACCAAAATACGGTCATTTTCAGTGCAACTTCGGTACACCTTACGGCAAATTTTTTTATATGTACTTTAATGTTTTAATAAAATAAAAGTTTTAATTTCGATATATGAACCTAATACAAATAATATTTATTTACTGAGATTCGATAAAACATATCAGACAAACACTTTCTGGTACATTTTATAATAATTTAATTCTGGTTGTAACGCTGTATTTGATTGGATAAAAAATTTACTTTATATCGTATAAAATGGGTTGCCTACGTCACAATGATTTGCTTCAAAAACGTATCAATCCGCCTGACGTTACATTCAAATTTTGTACAAACCGAAGTCATTTTGTTAGCACAATCATCTTTTTTTCTTACATCAAATGAATGAAAATTAAATTATAAGCAATGAATTTAATAGCTACCCATTTTATACGGTATAAACTGGGTTGGAACAGTTTACGCTTTTTTATAAACCGCTTCGCGGTTTATAAAGCGTAAACTGCCCCAACCCAGTTTATACTGTATAAAATGGGTAACTATTAAATTCATTCCTTGACTTTTTTAAATTTTAAATTAAATATCGAATCTCATAAAAAAAATTACATACACTAAAAAACCATATTCCTTATATTTCATTATACATTGAGCCTTGCATTAAGTATTAACTTTAAATTTATTAATTAGTTAAGTCTGTTAAATATTTGATTTATTTCAAATATTTATGTAATAGTAATAGTAGTAGTAGTCAATGAATTTAATTTTAAAGAATTTCACCCAATTCATGAAAAAACCATCAAAGATACCGATACATGTATATTCAATGTTTTACCATTTAACTTTTCAGTCAATAATTGCTGACCTTGAATAGAAAAAAAAAACTAAAGTAACAAACCAATTTAATAAAACAAATGGAAACGTTAATACAAAATAAATATAAAAAACTGATGTTAAATGATATGACACGATGCCTTGCCCTTTTTCTTCACTATATACAGATTAGTCCTTCAGTGACCTGTGTTCAAAGAGTAGGAAGATCATTAATATACCCTTTAACTAAATTAATTTTAAAAATATAATTAAAACATGTATGTTTAATGAATTTTATACATTTTTAAACTCTTTTCTATGAACCAGAACTATTTATGATACTTTTTATACAGGTAATGGCCTATTTTATTTACCTGAACAGCTTTAGTCATCTTATTCGATTCTTTTGTAGTGGAGGGATCAAGTGAAAATAGCGTCTACAATGAAAAAAAAGATCATTAAAAGCACTTGGGTTATTTTACATGAAATGGCTAAAAAGGTGTTTTTAAATAAACTACAGAACGGATTTTTAAACATATTTCGTCAATAAATTTCAAACAGTTTTTTGCCTGGTTTCTCATATGTGTATCAACTTTTAGATATTCTTACCACTATGCCAAAGGTAAGAAACACTGTTTCAGTTCATAATACTCGTATTTCAAGTTTTTCATGAACACTTAATTATTCTAACTTGTGTCCATTTCAAATGAAGTTCCCAATATAATGTGTTCAAATCCAATCAATACTTACATGTACTTGTCCGGGTGATCTAGCGGAGTTGATGTCTGAGATGTGGGTGTAATGGAGGGACAGGACCTCGCCCAGCCTATATTCTCCTCCTTATTTTGCTCCCTCAGCCACATCACAAGAGGACTGAAGTATTTCATCAATGGTTTGACACTCATTCGTCTCTGTCCTGTCACAACACGCATCACATTCTGCCATGGTTTAGATGATCCCATGCCGAGGGCTTTTCTTCAGACAGATAAACAGACAGATAATGATACAGCATAAATCATTGAATGATATAAATGAAATAAAAGGTTAATGAAATTCTGTTAAGGTAAGTATCAAACAATTAAAGTTTATATCCTTTATAACCCATTTTCGCCAAATATCATTTTTCCTTGGATATCTAGGTCTATCGATCATGACCTTATTCTATGCCTCATGTGTTGATAACCTTCTGTTAAGAAACAAGGACTACTCTATATTTCATAAACCAGTGTTTCCTTTTACATTCTTATTTTCAGCAATTGCTGCCTTAATCAGTTCTTCATCGTACTCTTCAAATAACTAAATAAAATTAATGTTATACCCATCTAAAAACAAAGTAATCTTTTGATTCCTTTTTTACTATTGAAAACGCATATGATTTCAATTTAATATTGAAAATATGTTTATTTCATTTCTCTCCAAAGATGAAAGGATTTTAAAAGTTGCGCTACCAAGCCTGAAAACCTTAGATTAAGATTTTTTAAATTTTGCATAAGATAATTCAAACTTACAATGCGTATATATGAGACCAAAATTAAAAAAAAATTTTTGGTTGTCCTCAATTTGCCTAAAAATGGCCCAATTCATAACTTTTTTAACCTTCAAGAAGCAAGTTTTTTTATCCAGTCAGGAAAATAGATTTTGATAATTTAACATTAAATTTAAAATTTCTTTTTAAAACCTTCCCACCGACTTAATTTTATCATCATAAGTCGGGAGAATGCAAGCAAACATTATTTTGAAGTTGATCTGAACATGTTGAAATATTTCAAAAAATCTCAAAATCCTGCAATGAGCTATATGACTTTAAATTATTACTTCAGAATATGCCCAGCTGTTCTACTTCCATACAGGTTACACCTATGTAAGGGTCCTTTATGGTCCGCTACTTTACACAGTGCCTCATGCCATTGAAACTGTATTATCACACTAATGAAATGCCTGCAAAAATTACACATTATACATTTGTATTAAGATAATAATGATACCGTGTTTTGCTAATTCATGTCTTTTTCAGACTGAATATTCTATAATAAGTAGTTCCAAAAGCAGTTGCGAGGAGGCTTTTAAGATTTTTTCCCAAAATCCTCAAGCTTTTCAATGTGGTATAAAATATATAAGTATAACATACTTAATGAAGGGTTGATTGGTGGCAACATGATGCACAGCACCAGGATCAAAATCTTCCTTTGTTCGTTTAACTGGCGGGGAAATTCCCTGATAACGGCATCTGAGAACAAAACATTCAACACTCTTAATCAAATCTGATCATAAATCCTGTGCATAGGGAATTCTTGTTCTTCCTTGAAATGAAATACATTTCTTACAATTTTAATTGATATGATAATACATCGTAGTACCTGAAGTCCCACCATTTCTTGTTGTATTCCGAGGGAGGTAATTGTTCCCTGAATACACTCCATCGCCAATATTCGATTGCATATGCATAGGGTAAAAGCGCTACTTTTTCTAACGCCAATTTCATCAGATAGTTTATATCTCTTTCTGCAAAAAACGTCGTTGCATTTCATCTTGAGTTAAACACTGAACTGTCGTTGATCGAGTTGATAATAAAAAACAATAGAATATGGAGAAAATGAAGAGTATTCAAGCTCAAAGTCCATTATAAAAATACAGGTATGGAACAAAGCAAATACGGGCCTCCAAAAACATCAGAGGTTGGATTAGTAGCCATGGAGGAGTAAGCATCCCCTGTGGACCCCGCCATGGACTCCGTATATATTTCCTATTTAGTAAGAATATTTAAGTGTTATGTTTTACATACTTATTGTTAGTCCATTATTTATACTTTGAATTGACGACGGATTTTTCCGTTATTTTCCGATCATGACGAGAGCACACGGCGGATGTGACCGATCTGCTGGGGATGCTCACTCTTCCATGGCACCTGATCCCACTTCTGATGTTTTTGAGGTCCGTGTTTACTCTGTTCTTATTTTGTATTGTTTTATGGACTTTTGATCTTGAATACTGTTCTTTATCATCAGATATTTCACATAAATCAAGAATTTTCTTAGAATTGAATTCAGTTACCTGGATCTTCTATAACTGTTTCAGTAAAACCAATTTTGTGAAGGTGCTCTGGTGTGTTCACAGACAAAGCTGCCAGCCCAGCAACTCCGTCATGGAACGCTTTATTTGAAAAAATAAAAGCCAAAACATATAATCATTAGTGTCCAGTGATGGTGGATATCAAATGACTAGTCAAAATTAGAGAAACCAATAGACAATGATGGCATTCGTAAGAAATACTTACCAGGATTAGCGCCATTCCTGAATATGGTATCCTGAAGTTTGTAACTTTGGTAATAGACAATATGGCCGACCTCATGATGTGCCATAATTAGGTTCTCCTCGTCTACCCTGGTACAAGCCTTTATTCTTTCAGTGACAAACAAAATCAAAAGGATAATAATCAGTTTACATGTATCCTCTGTACGTAGACTTCTTTTGGCGGCCCATTATCTGAATGTTGATTTTGACCGCCTGTTATGAATCAAGGTTTAGTTGATAATTTATATGCCTATTTTAATTAGAATTTATCAACAACACACCTAAAATCTTTACCATCACCGAAGTCCCACGATGAAGGATTACAAAATACGTGTTTGTCTGTTGGTTTGACAAACATTGAATTCTCCCAGAATTCATCATCCATTGGTTCAAAACCTAGTGAGGTATAAAAGTCCTCTGCGATCCGATACAATAGGGTAATATTAAACTGCTGTTCAAAAACAAGAGCAAGTTTTAAATATTCATCAGATGTTTTATTGAAACCATAGATCGGATACATATGTTTGCTTACACTTTAAATGCATATAATTTTAACCTGCATTAATACATTAATGTTGTTGAAAATTGAATTTCATTTTTCGTTTGCTTTTCAAAAAAAATAAAATTCCCTTACCCCTTTCTGCATTTTCTTTGTTATATCCACCCTGCTTATATTTGGAAAGGGCTCTATAAGTTGGTAAATCGTTTCCAGTTTGCCACTGTCAAGAGAACCTGATAAATGAAATCACAAACATGAAGTACGACTAGTTAATTTCATCAATTAGTTATCAAAGGTAATTCATCGCTTCTCATCTCCATAATTCTTTAAATTTCTTGATTTGAAAAATAATCAAATAATTTTTTCATATTTTTGGTTAAAATAGCTGTTAAAATAGCTGTTTACTGTAACATATTTGGGCTCATCAGTGGTATTTGCCAAAGTAATCATTTGAGATTGCTTAAAAAATCTTCACAAGAAGCAACACGCACCTAGTAAATGAGCTGGGATATGACCAGACAGTGGAAATATATCCTTCTCATATTGCCTAAGTAGCTGCTTACGTATGTAAGCATGGAGTTCCAGATACAATGGTTCCAGCTCTTTAAACAAACGTGCAATGTCGTTCTCGAAGTATTCCATTTCGTAAAAGGATGCCCACCATTCTCCAACGTCGTCGTAGCCTTGAATGAAATCCACTAGGTTGATGATATATGTACAATGTGAATTATTTAAGTAGCATTCATATGTTTGAGCATTTCACACAATTCTTATCTAAAATACAAAACAAAATACTTAAAAGACCTATTCATGAATTTTCTTATTATTCTCAAGATAAATAACACATACACTTTTTATTTCTTCCAAAGAACTATATGCGGTATACTGCATATCTTTGCCCCCACAAAAGTCAAATTTGAAAAATTTGAAATGTGCTGAATTTTATAAATTGTATGAGAAATATAAATTAATAACATATCATATTATAGTTTCAAAGTAGTTTATTGACAATTTTTGTTTTATGACGTCACAAACTAGTTCGATTATATATTTTTTATAAAGAAGACAAAATGGACAAAATTTCAGCAATTTTAGCCTTAAAATTTATAGAGCGCAAGTTTGCTCAGGAACGATATTTACATATTTCATGGATATTATCATTCTACACATATTATCAAAATATTGAGCCTGATCAGATCTGCGCTCGGTGACTTTTACTCAAAATATCGACGTAAAATATACATTTTTCTGTACATATCATAGAAATTTTAAATTTAAGTCATTTTCGTGACGTCATTTCAAACATATGACGTCATTGCTAATGAAAATTTTCAGTGTTTCGAAGTCAGCATATATTTCCCTGTTTAAGAACATAATTAAATATTTCTCCGTCAAAGTTTGATTTGGGGGGGGGGGGGAACAAATATTGGTTTTTATCGAATAAAGTTCTTTCAAATATTTTTGATTGAATAAGTATCTCTTTCCCGAAAAAAGTAAAATATATGTTTAGTTAGAGTGAAACACATCTATGTTTGGCAAAACCAGATAATTTGGTGAAAATTGAATAATTCTATAACATTGTTGAATAGTTTTAAAAATATTGGATGTTAGATAACTTGAAAGCCTTAGGGACCATTTTCAGGAGTCCGATATAACATTTTACACATAAGAATTTCCGGATTAGAATTTTATTGAAAGATATATTTAAAAAATATCAAGGTAACTGTTACGAATGAGAAATTTTAAAAACTTGCTTGTGGTATAATCTTTAATACATGAAAATATATCTACCTACAAAAAAACTATTATATAAATCTGATGAACTATTGAATACTCTCTTATAAAAATTTGGTATTCGATAAATTAAGCTTTAACATTTAATAATTTTGCTGCCAATTTTGTGCTTTAATTTGGCTTTAATTTTATAAAAGAGAACACCTTATGATATTTAAACAACGGAGAAGAATTATTAATTCCTTCTTTACCAGTGACGTTTATAAAATATTCATGGATGGAATGGTAAGAAAATTAATGTTAAAAACAAATTATTTCACTAATTAACCTCTTACGTAACTTCTACAAGTAACTCAAGATAAAAAGATTATTATTAATGCAAATGTTTGCCATTGAAATATGAAGTCATTATTTCAGAAATATGAACCTGTCTGCTGTGGAGCATTTTAAAATATCTTTCCTAAGGACAGATGATACAAACAATTTTTTTCTTTGGAAGAGACTTAATATCATATCAGAAGTTTAGAAAAGTGGCTAATTCTTAGAATTTTTTCTTCTAAGAACTGGAAAATGAAATAGACTTGGAAAATATTAGTAATATTTCAATATAATTTCAATATAATTTCAATATAATTACAAATATGGACGAAACACACTCAGTAAAGGTTTACAGACGAAAACAAATTTGAGAATATGTTACCTTGGTGCAAAAAGTGTAATTTAAACTTTAGAAAAATATACCAAGCCAGGTGAATTTTATGAGTAAATACAAAATGACAAAAAATCAGCAATAAAACATAGGCTGATTTTTACCATTTTGCTTTTCTTAATAAAATTCATCCGGCTTGGTATATTTTTCTAAACTTTATATTACACTTTTAGCACCAAGGTAACATATTCTGAAATTTGTTTTAACCTGTAAACCTTTACTGAGTGTTAGTTATCTATATATATATTTTTTATTGAAATGTTAGTAATATTTTCCAAGTCTATTTCATTTTCCAGTTCTTAGGAGAAAAAATGCTATAAATTATCCACTTTTCTAATCTTGTGACATGATATTAAATCTATTCGAAAGAAAAAATTTGCTTGTATCATCTGTCCTTAAGAGTCCATGGTTAGTTTAAATATGCCATGAAATTATTTACCTTACCTTTATATTTTACAGCTTTGTTCATTAACTTGGTGAGTTTTATGAAATCGTCTTTAACACTCCTTCCCGCCATGTGGTGCCAGCCCTCCCATACTGCCAGGAGTTCATCATGTGATCTACTTTTGGACATGATTTTCTCCAGTCCTGTTGATTGTCAGTTATATGAAAAAAAAATGCAAAACCAACTATCAAACATGCCATACCAACTATCATATTGCTCCATATATGTTAAGATAATAAGTATACATCCATTTTTCTAAAAATAACAACATGAAAATGGTGAAGATAACGGAGAAGTGATCGATATAAAAAAAAAATTATGATCTCATACCTGCACGGTAGAGACAGTGTTCCCGGGGCAGACAGTAGATAGCATTACTTTGTAAGTTTCTAATCTCTGTTTTTGTCCTTGTTATCTAAAAAGGAAAACAATCAAAAAATACCTGTTCAAATCTTTTTTGACCGTCCGATTATTAAAAAAAAACTCTTTTAACCAATTAAAAAGCTAGCAATCAAATTATAACCTGTGAACAATTTTATTTTTTAATTTACATTTATTTTTAAACATGTATCTTTGTTTCACTACCCCAGCTCCTTTTCCTCCCCACCCCAAACTTGAAAATATTCAATGACCTTTAAATATAACCAGCCATTTCGAGAAGCATTATCACAGAAATTAAGTAAATATTTGTAGTCTTGACCATAGCTCTGTATTGAAAAAGGCCTTACTGAAAGCATATGATAGGAATCTAACCAAAATCTTCAACTTGAAATATAGGCATAGAATAAAAAATTGATGTCACAATGGTATCAAAAATCTCGTTTAATGTCAAAATTCAACATATGCCTGAGTCGTTACAATGACCTATTTGAAAAAACAACCTGTCATCAATTGAAACGTCGACAGCCATTTTTATTTTAAAAATGCTTAGCCATTTACATATGTTTGATACTGATTTGTTAAGGATTTTACATTTCATCCAATCAAGTTAATGAGCTTATGGCGAGTGTGACCGTTTCATAGATAATGCTTACATCTCAGTGGAACTTAAGTCAATCTTTCATGTTTCAAGGTGTTCGTGTTATACTTAAAAATTGTAAATCATTTTAAATTTTGTTTTCAACTTCGGGCAGTTTTACAAAACAGCATTTTGTTTTTCTCTTTTGCCTTTTAGAATTCTTGGTACATAGTAAAGTAATTAATTGCAAGTTACTGTGTTTTTATGCATCTAAAACATTAGACATAGAGTTATCATTATAACCGACATGAATGCGAAATTAGGAGCTACAGAATCATTTATTTAATGTTTTATCTTATACAAATGCTTAAGATATTTTGTTGATCTTCTGATTTTTTAGATTTTTTTTCCTTCTAGATATTACTGAAACATCGATTTTTATAACCTCATTTTTAAAGATTGTAATACCTTATCTAAAAGTGTTGAATCGTTGATTGTATATAACCCAGCTCTCTCTATAACTTTGATGAACTGTCGTTTCATAGTTGTGTTCGTGAAGTTTTTGTATGCAAACATTCCTGCATATTCAGCCGCCTCTTTGTCAAATTTAAATAATTGCACGGATTTTTCGTTCTGAAATTAAAAAAAGAAGAAAAGTATCAATTATTAAGAGATTGAATTCTTTTGCATTATAGGATTTAGAATACAGGTATTAATTTTTTTCCGAATCGCAAAAGCAGTATGAACTAAAAAAACAATTCGAAGAATAATTATAATAAATAAATCACCAAAGCACAAAAAATGACAACTTTTATAGTTCACAAAAGAGACATAAATGAAAAGAAGGAAGGGTATTTGCTTTTTGGAAACTTTCATCGAAATATAAAGATAATTTGTGTTTTCGGCTTTTATTTTATTCATAATTTTCACTAATTTGCAACCTACCTACTGTTTTCATTGTACTCACCATGTCTTTTTTATTGGGTTCATTAACATTCGTCACATATTCCCAAACAGATTTGTAGAATATGTTCCAAAGCATTCCAAAGGATTGGTCATGATCAATCAAAAACTTTAACGCCAATGTTTCGTTTTTAATATTTGCTGAATCTGTCGATGTAGTTCGAAAAATCAGAAGAAATTGAATACTGAGAGCTAATAGCATGGTTTCAGTGGTATTCACTGTGCATTAAATGTCGAAAATTTTATAATGGATAGCATATCCTTGAAGCCTCTGTTAGGCTGTCAGTTGACAACCAAGTTACAAGACAAACAGCTTTCTGGATGGTAACTGTCAGCAGCTATTATTACTCTCTCTTTCATTTAGGAGGTAAATTTATAGTATTCATTAAAATTCTGACATGATGATGCAAGTCAAATGTAAAGTTATATATTATATCATCTTACCTTTGTCCTGCTTCAGTACTGATAGGATTGTGTAAGGAGGCAGATAATTATTATTTTATTACAGTATGATCACATCCAAGTTATATACTGTGAAGTTTAAATCAATTTAAACCTGAAATATCTCAAAGATAAAAAATGAACATATTTAATAGTTGATATGAAGTCATTATTTAAAGACCTTTGTGGATGAAAGATCATTAAGGTAAGTACTGCTCAAAGTATCAGGCATTAGTGTGAAAAGTCGTTATATTATTAAAGAAAAATCAAACTAAGACAAAATTGAATGGTCTTTAAATGTACATTTTTTTCATTATAGCATATGCACTTTATGTTTTACAGCCTAAATTCACACTTTCAAAAGAAATGCAAGAAGGGAATTTTTTAACTGATGCAAAAGCATTCCAGTATACAGTTTTGGTAAGGATAAAAGAACATAAGTATGTTCCTTTCCACTGAAGAAAAAACTGGAATAATCATAAGGGACAAAACAATTTAAAAATCGATATCGTTTATGTTTCATTTGCAAGAAAATCCCAAACGTTTAAATTTATTGTTATGATGTTTTATTGTGTCTTTCTGCTTAAAAAAACCCTTCCCATTAATTTAATTTTGGCCAAAAATTAAAACTTGTTTTGCAAGACATCTGTTACTCGAAGTGCATAATACTTTAATTTATGGCAATAAAAACCTACTTGATAATTTTCAAGGTCTCATAGAAATTCTGTTCCTCCTCAAATATGTAGTAAGATAAATGAAATTCGTTGTGAACTGCATGGCGAAAAGATATGAGCCAGTGTTTTAGAATATAGCCTTATGTACTACTGTAAATCACTTTTATTCTCGAGAACTTTATTTTCGCGTGATTACGCGAGTCTGTCTGCTCGCGAAAATTTATTCTCACGTATATTTGTATTATTAATGTTTATATACAACAGAAACCACAGCTCGCGAAAATTTTGTCTCGTTTATAAATACCAAATAGCTAAGTCGCAAAAATAAGGGGTCGCGAAAATATATTGATCTACGAGGAACTCAAGCGTATTTTCTTTCAAGCATTAATTCCAGAGTATTTTGTTTAGAATCAGGGTCAAGTTGAGTTATTTTCTTGATGACCAATCACAAGATAATCAATGTGAATGTAAAATTGAAAATCACAGCATGCGTTTAATTTCTCTCATATCTGATAAGAGTTTTTTAAAATAAATTCTGCTTCATGATGGGTTGGTCGATTGATACAGTGATGAAAGAAGTAAATAATTTAAAGGTAGGAAAATAGTTCTTCAATTTTTTTTTCATTTTGTAGTTGAATAATAATGTTCATGAGAATGGCTGTCATAAGTATCCAAATACTTTTGATATCGTATTTCAGGTTCATTTCGTTTTAAAGCAATGTCACTGTAGAAACATATAAAACGTAAAGAAAAACAATATTCGATAGCTTTTTAGCATATTCAGACATTTATAAAATGAAGTTACAAATCAGGATTGAGCAAAGAACCCAGCGATAAATATCATTAGAATTGTTTAACTTACAAGACATTGGAGTTGTCGTACATTACGTTTTCCATCTTTTCAAGTCATTTTAAGTCATTTGATAATAAGCATACATGCATTCATAAAATCTTTCATAATTAAAGTTATGAGAAGCAATCATATTATCAAAAATATTAAAGATTTCGGTTGATATCAATGAAATGACATGTTGCCAATTGTGATATAAATGTTGTAAAAAGTGTAATGACTTTAAAATGTACATTTTGCAAGTTATGTGCTCGATCCAATGAACTTTTCAGCAAGTAAAAGCTATCATTAATTCAAATGCCTCCCTACGTTTTTATCTTACCATCTTTACACACTGAATTGTCTTTGGATTTTCCATTTTGTCGATTAGGACAAGGAGCATTCGGTAAGTGTGACCGGTCGACAGGGGATGTTTACCTCTCAAAGGCAACTGATTCCACTTCTGATGTTTGAGAGATCCATGTTTGCTTGCTTCTGATTATTAATGTTTGAATGGACTTTTGAGCTTGAAAACTATTTGATTTCTTCATATTTCATTGTATAGCTAATTTGAAAAAATCGCGTTTAGTTTTACAGATGAGACAGAAAAAAAGTAGAAAAAGGTAGAACATTATCGTTATCAATTTCATTGTAAAATATTTTTAGAAAGAGCAAAAAAAAAAAGATCAAAATTTAATTGAACTACTAGTATTCATTTTCTTTTTCCTTGAGTATTTTAAACCATTGTGAAGAAAAAACAACAACAAAAACATGCATTTTGGTTTAGTATATGTATTGTATATTTTATGCGAAGAGTACAGGTCATTGACATGCTCTCGAGATTATGCCATTGAATGTTTCAGGAAAGCAGTCATCAAATAGTGGTGGGAGCATTAAATTCAAATTATACGAGCTTGGTGACATAGTTCCTGGCTGTCAGTACTGTCATAAATAAGATTTAAGAGCCATTCTCTGTAATGATTTAAAATTTTATATAGGAGCTGTGGCACGCATAGTCTCAGAAATTCTCCAAACTCTCTATGATAAAAGCCATTGATACCCTAAACTGAAATCAGGCAAAATTTGGTTGCTATGTTTTATAGTTACCATGGCAACATGTCTTAAAGTTCGAAAAATGGCATTTTTTAACATGTTTAGAGCCCCATAGTTAACATTTGCGGCAAAGCAAACAATTGGCAATGACTGTTTCCAAAAGTTGCAGGTCAGATGTCTCAAATGCATGATAAACATGTTTGGTAAATCAACTATTACATACGTTACTATGGTAACAAAGTATTCAAAAGTAAAAAAAAAATATTCGTTGAATTTTATAAAGTCATACACGTAAAAATAAAAAGCAATTATAGGATGAAATGTGACCGAATAATAGAAAAAAGAGCCTTGAAACATATACCAAGAACAAAATATGATATTTCATTTTGGTTGGCAATGGTTGCCAAGGTTTTCCTACCACAGAGAGCCTTCAAAGTAACACGATGTATGTTTAAATCTGATCCTATCTTTTAAAAAAGCACATTTCCTCATAACTAATGATCTATTTTATAAGATGTTGGTGTGGTCCAAGTTTTCCCATTTGAAAAAATTCAGATTAGATTCTTTAAATAGAGCGTTGCTATGGAAATAAGCAGAAAATATATGCTTAAAAACCTGAAAAATATTTTCTTTCCTTGGATACGTACCCTTAAATGTAGATTCCCAAAATTTTTATGATTGATATTTATTAACAGCTAACTTGACTTTTAATTTTGACTATCATCCAATCTCTAAGTGGATGCAAGAAGTTAGCACACAGGGTTTAATATTGATATAAAGTTCACAAAATCGAACATTTTCCCTTCTTGGTTACCATAGCAACAGTGTTGTTTTATTCATCAAATTTTATCAATATATGATATTCAACTTCAGTTCTAACAGATAAGTACTATTCAAGCTGAGTCCTTTAATTTGTTTCTTGATTAAATGGCAATTCAATTCTTAATGCAGCGAAAAATAATTCACTTTTAAGCACTGGTACTTTGTTTCCATGGTAACACTACAAAGTAGCAATTATACCGAATTTTTCTTATGGTTTTGGTGTTGCAAGGTACTAAGGATGCATATTTGCCAGTCTTGAATTTTCATGTTTTTCCTCAAGACGGTAGCATTAACCCAATCTTAGTTACTGGTTTTGCATGGTTACACTGTGTTACCATGGCAACCATAAAAGTTATTTATAGAATAATATTGCTTATACTTATATACTTAAGGTCAAACTTTTTCATTGTTTTTCTTAAGTCGTTGATTGAGTTTGAGCATGTAACACCTACCATTAGTGAATACGGAGTGTTTTTCAGCATATTTCAGCATTTTAAATGTATTCCAAATGTACCCTTGGTTACCACTTACTTAGAGATATATTCTAAACAGTTTCTTTATATATATATATATATATATATATATATATATAAATATATATATATATATATATATATATATATATATATATATATTTGTTTCTGGTGTTAAGTACTAAGCATGGGTGAAGTTTCATCAAAATCGGTGACCATGCGTGGCAACGAAGTTTAAGTGGTTACAGAGAATGGCTATTAAATTATTACTGTGAGGTCTAAAACCTTGAATGGGACAGAATGTATTTTATAGGATTAATAAAGTAAAATTGCATAGAGTTGCAAATAAGAATTTTAAATTTTCTCTTAATCAAAAGTACAAAACGTTGATAATTATTTGCCTATTAATTCATAATGAAGAAACAAAATCATCAACTTATTGAAAACAGGTGCTTAGAATGAAGGCTACGGAGATAACGAACAGTATTCAATATCAAAACCCATAAAACAAGACAAAATAGGAGCAGAGCAAACACAGACCTCCAAAACATCAGAGGTGGGAACAAGTGCCATGGAGGAGTGAGCATCCCCTGCCGACCGGTCACACCCGCCTTGTGCTTCTTGTCATGATTGGGAAATAACGGAAAAATCCGTCGTCAATTCAGTGTCTAAATAATGGACTAACAATAAGTATGAAAAACGTCAGTCAGCATTTGATTCAATGATAAATTGTAATTGCTGACAAGGTCATTGTATCGACCAAAGGTATTACGAAATGATGAATTTAAACTGCTGATGCTCTTGTTTCATCTACTTGTTTGTCAAAAATTTACCTCGTTTTAGAAATTGTTCATATGTGGAACATGCTCTTGAGTATCGAATCACCTGAGATATATAATCTCCGTATGCAGGTGATGAAGGTATATTGCTGCATAAGTAAGGGAAGTTGACGATAGAAAAGTTTAAATCATCATATAGCTTGGTTGTTAGATTATCATTAACGTCTTTTTCAAGTACAATATCCAAGTATGAAACAGATGTGTCAGACTCTGTGGTATCTTTTTTCTTAGGCTCACCAGGATTAAACAATACAATCTGTAGAATTAAGCATTTTGACTATCATTTTTGTGAAATGAAGATATTTGTTAAATAAAACTCTATTAAGTGAGACATTTCCAAACAAGCATATGAATTTTCTGTATTTAAAACACATTTTAGATACATGTGCATTTTCATTATTTTCTTACAAAATACAGTAAGAATAAATTGTATGTAGAATGAATGACTCGGTCGTTTCTAAAAAGCAGTAAGAAAGAAAACATGAAAACAAAAATAATATATAGTCTCTTCATCATCACAGCGTAATGGATTATGTGAGGAAAAACCGGGAAAAGGCTAACACAAATTTAATATCAGTAACATATATCAATGCTGCATTTGATTTAATTCAATTTCCGCCATTTCACTATTGCACAGTACGAAACATGTACAATTTTCATAATAAATAAGGAATATTTGAATTGTTCCCTTAAGAGTTTCAAAGTAAAAAAGAATAAACAGAAAATCGACAGTTAATTACTCAATATAAAATAGACTCAACTAAACTTTACAATATGTTAGACTTAGGTACAGTTATTTAAAACATTTGTTTGCTTGTATTTTTGGAACTCGGTATATAAGCAACTGTGATTTATTATCAATAATATTCCATTGCATTTGATTTTTTTATGTGTGGAGACAATTAATTTTTACATATAAAGACAGCATTTCGCATGTTCTATGATCTATTCAATGATCTTGTCAGGAAATACAATTTATCATCCAGTCAAATGCTGACTAACGTTTTTCATAATAATTGTTAGGCCATATTGAACTGTCGACGTATTTTCGCGTTATCTATTGATCATGACAAGGAGCACACGGCGGGTATGGAAGGTCGGCAGGGAATGCTTACTCTTCCATGACACCTGATCCCACCTCTGATGTTTTGATGGTTCATGTTTGCTCCGCTCCTATTTTGTATTGTTTAATGGACTTTTGAGCTTGACTATTGTTCGTCATCACCATATATTTCATTGCATATGAAAAACTTAAACCTTCGCCATATGTTACAACACGGGTGCATCATTGGTTTACAAAATACGTCAATTTTTATGGAGAATTATGACAGGTTTCCCTTCTTGGAAATGAATTTCATTCACTCAATATATACATCTTTATATATTATTTTATTATTTTAATTAAAGTCCATAACATTTTCATCAGTGCATAAAGATTCCTTGAAATTGAATATTTCGTTTCAATATGTTTTTTGCACACTAAATGCCATTTTAAGTTGCATTGTAATGATTTACATGTCTCAGCTGCATCTGATAAATGCTCCAGAACTTTAACATAATGAAGAAATTGTACTAAATTAGTTCATCTCATTAACTCTGCACTCTAAACTATTCCATTATTCTTTTTTTTTTTTAGATATGTAGTTTTAAAATATCATTTAAGCAGGAGAATAACATATACAATTTATTTAAGACTTTAATTGTGAAATAATGATACAGTGGTTTTCAAAATTGATATATTTAAAGAGAATTATGACTGCCATCCCTCTCTGGAAGGTTTGCAAGAAGTTTCAAAAATGAAATTTATTTTACAATTCATACAGAAGAAAATAAAACAATAATATTCGCCAAAAAGAAATAAAAAATTAAAAATAAAGTATACAAGGTTTATTTTTGTCCTTTAGAAATTAAACACATAACCAATTTTTCCATACAGGGCTACCTATAAATTAACAAATTAAATTTTCACCTGAATACAATACAATCATAAATGTCTCATCATCCTCTAGGTTTTTGTAAAGGTGTTTGAGGTCAACCATATTAATATTCCGATGAAAATAACTAGGATAAGGCTAACTTATATGGGACATGGTTATAATATTTAATAAACAGTGTATTTAAAAGACATTGATTTAATTATTTTCATTCTAAGTATACAGTTTGACAGACATGCAACCAACCATGCAACAAAGAGGAAATAGTGATGTGAAAAGTGTTATTGTTTTCAAAAAATGGAAAATTTAAAAATGACCTATACATGTGAAAATTGTTTCCACTGTCATATTGTAAATTTTAATTTTATCGGTTGGCAGTACATGTTCATATAAATTTACAACATTTTAGACAACTATTTTGTAAATTTTGAATTGATTGCCAGCCAGTATATTTTGAAATTTACAACAAGAGATGACTATTAGCGATTGTGTTTGGGGGCATGGGTACGTAGCATGTAGAAGACCGATCTCGTGAAAGTACGACTGTCGATTTAATTACATTCAAAATGATGCATTGAATTCAACTGGTATATTAACTTCTTTGGTGCTCATATGTAATTCTTGTGTCACATAATACATTTTACATGTATATGTTTTAATATCAAATAATCCTTCTGAAATATGGTCTTCATTTTACTCGTCACCTTTATGAAATTTTCATTGTATGAAAATTAAGGAATTGAAAACGGAAGAAAAACGTTCGTTTTTACGTGTGGTTATTTTGTCTTTGAGAGAATGTTACTTTTTAAATCCCTTGTTTCTCATTTAATGACAATGTTCGACGGCAAATTGCTATTTTGAACCTATGTTATAACCAAAAAATGATCATATTATATTTCCTTCGACAGTAAGAAAAAATGTGTTTGATTTTGTAAAGAGCATCATTGATATACCTTGCGATGACCTTTCATCAAAGACGTTTTAACATTGAGGAAAATTGAAAAGTTATGTCAAAACAAGGTTGTTTTTTTTTAACCAAAATTCACCTCTGTCATAATACAAAAAAAAAGAAATGAGAAGATCACGTTCTTGTGTAGGGAACTTTATTTAAAGAATACCAACATCAAAGATGTCAGTCTTTCTGAAAACGTACACTATTTAATTGGTGAATGAAAGTCATGTAGGCTAATTAATCTTCCACAGAGTATAATTAGATAATCAACTTGATTAAAGAACAATATCTTCATGCACTTCACATCTTAATTAAAACTGCCTTGCAAAGCAGTAAATATGTTAAGCGCATGCAACTAGAATGAAAAGATAAATTGTGGAGACAACTTGTCAGTTTCTTCAAATTATTTTTCCAAAACCACAGAGATTATAGGTGTTAATAAACTTAAGGTTATTATGATTAAAGTGCCATGAAATACTACATATCTTACTTGCAATGCAGGTTTAAATTCATATGACATAAGGTGAATGGAAGAATATGTTTCTGGTTACTGAGTATGCTATGCATTTTAATAACATCTCTCTGCAAAAACCAAACCTTTCCATTGCCCTGCACGTACATGTATGTGCTATAGAGGATTTCACACAGAAAATTGTATAAACACATATACACAAAAGGACGGGATATGCAATGAATTAAAATTTCATCAACAATTTTCAACCAGTTTTTACAAAGGCAACTACAATAGAGAAAATTAAACACATGACTGAAATAAAGTGGGCGGATCCTATGCTGAGTGATTGGGGCGTTATTGGTTTTGGTATTGTTGAAGGACAAGAAGCTGCCCATCCTGTATTCTCTTCTTTATTTTGTTCTTTTAGCCATTTCAGCAGTGGGTCAAAGTAGCTCACCAGAGGTTTGGCACTCATAGTTCTATTTCCTGTTATGGCTTCCATAGCATCCTGCCATACTTTAGAAGATCCCATCCGAAGCATCTCTCTATTATAAATTAAAGGTAATGAATAATCTTTTTCAATCTGATTTTCCATTAATTGAATTTAAAGGATTGCAGTTTTTTAATTGGAAGTTTAATTTTATAATACCTCAACTTGTTTCCAGCTTTTGTGCTATTATATATATCACATCTGTGTAAAGGTCGTGTATTTCCAGCTTCTTTGCACAGCGCTTCATGCCATTGAAACTGAACAACAAAGCTCACAAAATACCTATTAAGAGTCATAAATACGTATGTTATAATATGTCAAAGAAAGAAATTTTGAATTGACAGTGAAAATTGCTTCCATGTAAGTAAGACTGATATGTGGTTTTGAGAAACTCAAATCTACCATAACTACTAGAACTTTCTCAACCATGACTCAATATTTTACTAAGCAAGAAAACCTAACTCTTAGAAAATTAGTGTTTTTACATTAATGCAAGAGGGACCTATACAAAAAGCTCATTTTAAAACCTGATATATGGTGTGTTTCCAGGTATATGGTATTTTGCTCCAGGATCAAAGTCATCCTCTGTCCTTTCAACTGGTGGCGAAATTCCTTGGAACCTACATCTGTTGAGGAAACAAAGATAAGTCTGGACTTAAATTTATTAGTACAATACATGTAGTTTGATTTTGTTTCTGGTACCTTTGTAGGGACACTTAAAAAGAAAGTTTGTCATAAATACATCGTATACATGTATATAGCTAAATCAATGAAAAGTAAAGAATCGTGATGATTTTTGTTGAGGAAAATAATAAGACAAGTAGATCTATGAACAAAATAAAGTTTTTCATTTCTAGGCACCTGAAGTGAAATACAACTGTAAATACCTGAGGTCCCACCAGTGCTGGTTATAGTTAGAGGAGTTTGTGTCTCCACGGAAAACACTCCACCTCCACTGATCAGTTAAATAACCAAAGGGAAGAAAGGCAACCTTGTCCAATGCCATTTTTAGAAGAAAATTAATGTCACTATCTGCAGAAATGTTGCATTAAGTCATCTTAAACAAATATACATGCATTTGTTTAATTAGGAAGAAAGTAACAAATAAGGTGAAGATAAAAACCAGATTAATGAAATGAGTATATGTTTACATTTCTGATATTAGTACCAATGTATGGATCAAGTTTCAATTAAAGAAAATTTAAATTATGTCAGTCTGAAGTTATGCTAAACATTTCAGGTTTAGATTCTGTATAGAAAGCAATAGAATATAGTTTAATCAAATATTTTACACAATTAAACACAGGTTTAAGAACAAAATTACTTTGTCTTGACTTTGTTTCATTGATTTGATAAATTTTATTCAATTCAATGAAATACATATATGACAAAGTAAGCTATTACCTTGATCCTCTGGAACTTCGTCTAATAGACCTATCACTTTCATATGCTCTGGGGTCTGGAAGGACAAACTGACGATGTCAGCCATTCCTTCATGAAAACCTGAAAATAAAAAATAAATACAAGTGTTCCATGACAAAAGTTTTTTATTTTTATAAAATTTTTATCTTTTTAAGTTTTAAATCAGCTGCAAATATTTTTGAAGTTAAAGCAATCAATGAAAGAAAAATAATTCCTCTGGTAAAATAATCCTTAAAAAATACAGAAAACTTTTGAATAAAACTTAAAGAATTACACGTATCAGTAGCAATAGACCTTAAATTCAACATGATCAACACCCCTATACATAGAGCAAGACAACACAGTGCTTACCCGAGTAAACCTAAATAAATTTGGAATTAATTTTATATTAACATTATACAATCTTTTTGCAAATGTGAATATCAGCAAAATCAATTTTTATTTCAAAATTACACATATCAGCCCATAACCAAAACAAAAAGGAAGCACTTAGAAAAGAAGCACCTTTTTAAAAAGCCTTTCAAGCAAAGTATTTGTAAAGAAAAAAATTGCAGAAGAAATTTTGCCACAGGTGTGTCAGTAAAAGAGCTATTAAAACTCCTCTGTGTTGTCATATGAAACTAAAATATCATATTATAGGGATCTATTAGCCTTATTGGATCTGGTCATCCAATAATTAAAAACAACAAGAATTGAAAATTCAATCCATTAAATAAAATGGTTTAATTAATATGCTTTTATTTTATTTCACATTCTCTGAACGGTAACCTGGTGAAACTCCAATTTTTCATTAAGGTAATTAAATCAACATAATAAAACAATTCAGCAATATCTAATACATGTACAAATACCATTTTTCTATTAGATAAAGTTCAGAAAAGGATAGGGTGGGTTTTTTTGGTTGTTTTAATAGGCAATGGTCTAAACATGCAGCCCTTTGTACATGAGACAAAATATAGCAGCTGTGGTCTAATTTCGTTTCCAATTAAAATGAAGCTGATGTGGGCTACTCCGTTTTCCCCTAATTACTATACCAGGATTGGCTCCAGCTCGGAATAACCTCGGCTGATGTCGGTAGTTTTGGAAATACACTATATGTCCCATCTCATGATGGACTGTCAACAGCTGGTCTTCTGTTACACTGGTACATTGCTTAATTCTGAAATGAAGTACGTTTGATCAAAGTTCTGTTATTGATATAAAAGTTTAGGTACCGGGATTTGCTCCTCTCCTGAACAGCCGGGGTAGATGTTTGTAATTCTGGTAATATACAATGTGACCCATTTCGTGGTGCACTGTTAGCAGCTGGTCTTCTGTGACGGAGGTGCACTGCTTAATTCTGAAGTTTTAGACAAATAACAAATACATATACTGGAGATATATCAAATAGAAAGGCATTCTTACCTTGTCTACTACTTTAGTTAAAGTATATACATGTACATGCACATGTTTCCTACACAACAAAATGGCGGACAAAGCAAAGTTTTTTTTCACTGTGATGATAAATTGATACACTTTTTTAAAAAGTAAATTTTATTGTATAAATAGTATACATATAGCTTGAACACAAGTTCTAACTTACGAAGTTCTCATAATGTAACAAAAAGAAAATGTTTGGAAATTATTTGGTATAGTCATTATACCTGAAATCTTTACCATCGTAGAAGTCCCAGGCTGAAGCGTGACAAACCACGTCTCGATCGTCTGGTTTTACAAGCATGGAATTTTGCCAAAACTCGTCTGTCATATCTTCCATTCCTATAGATTTAAAGAAATCCTCCGCCACTCGATACATGTGTGTCACATTGTAGTTCTACAACATAAAGTCAAACAATATCATTTTTTTTATGAATTTTGAATCATACTGATAAGAACAAAATAATTCGTGATGCAAAAAGGAACATTATTTACAAAACCACGATTGATCTAATGAAATGACACACCTATATAGTCATTCACATGTTTTTAATGCATTTTTGAAAATGACATCAATATGTAGGTGACTCGTGACGAAAAATGGTTGTCATAGTCTTACTAAAGTAAAGTTTAACGTATAAGTTGGAAATTCCTTTGAGGTATCTTATATTAATAATTTGTACAAGGTTTATGAAGAAATGCAGATGTTTCATAGATGGAAGAAGAGGGAAACAATAGCCCAGCGAAAGCAAGCTGGTGAAGAGATGTGTCCTTTGTTAGGCAATTTGTTATGAAAGATTGCGAAGTTACAGCTAGAAAAATGGTGGAATATCTTTACAATAATATTTTAATCCCCAAAATATAAAAATTCAAAACAAAAAAGGCCCCTACAACCGTATCCATACGGATAAACGACGTTCCTTTAGAAGACAGATGAATCGGATTGTGATGGTCACCATGTTCTTTCTGGGAATGGATATCCTTATCCAACCATTCTGTTTCCGAGATTTGGTCATTTCTGACAAATGGTCTGTTTTTGTTACGAAAATCAACTTTTATGGTAAGAAGTACAAGACTCAGAAAAATATTTTAGCATCTATGAACAGAATGCTTCAGAGCATGTCACGTGACCGCCTGGATGCGTGATTCGCGCATGGGCCGAGCGGTGGTAGATATATGCATTATTAAGGTATCCGATCCATAATAGCCTCAGATTCAATGAATCTGAAAGCATCACAGATATATATTGCCTGAATACTCAGTATACTGAGTATGTAGTTAGTTTCAGTATGTAAGAGCAGAACATGTCCTAATTTTTTACCTTGACCTGTCCTTGACGAGTTATCCCTCTTTGCTTTTAAAAGTTTTAATCAATAAAATTCTTTCTTTTTTTTTTAAATCTATCTGGAGAAAAATTATTTTTTATTTATTTTTCTATTCCTAATAACTATATACATCTTTCCACCATAACATTTTTTGATATTCATAGTATTTAAATTTTTATTTTAAAAAATTTGCTTGTTCCCATAGACCTCAATCATTCTTAATTAATTAATTAATTACTGCTTGGGTAATAATATTTTTGAAAATTTATCCTGGTAAATCCTTTTATACTCTAAACTGCTTTCCTGTTCCTTCATTAAAAAATAATGAACACTGAAACCTAATTTTATTTGTTTTATGGAAGTTATTTAATTTGTTCGCGAACTTTTTGCATCATCCCTCGTAATTTAGCGTTTTATGCATTTTTGTAGAGCTTTGGTCTACAGTCATCAGGCTGAAGTTTCTCCATTTTTATATTTAACTTGTTGCTCCATTGCTGAGCCGGTGGCACAACAAAGGTTGTAAAACAACCTTAGCTTTCAAAATAATTGCCTGTAAAATATTTATTAATTATTGAATTCCTCTTTAAATTTGCAGATCACAGCACTTTTGGAAAACAATGCGGAGAAATATATAACTTGGTATCTTGTGATTTTATTTATGTCAGATGAAATCCATGATACCAAATATAATGCAATTAAAGACCGAAGCTAAAAGTACCAAAAAGATGGGCAGGGATGTGACCACTCTCTGGAAACAGTTCCTTGCCGTATTTCTGCATCAGACGTTTTCTGACGTAAGCATGAAGCTCCACATACAGCGGTTCCAGTTCCTCAAACAACGTCCTCACGTCTTGTTCAAATGTTGGCGTCTCGTACCACGATCTCCAGTACTCTCCCGTATCATTAAATCCTGAGGAGTACGTTAAGACAACCATAGTGAGTAATGTTACTAAGGGGGTATGTTCGATTCGGCTCTCAAGAGTTTCTTCCCTGTGATTTTTTTTAAATTGAATATTTGAGATAAAACATTTTGTAAGTGATTTTTGACAATAAATGTACTCCGTCTGAGAAAGTAATGTTTGCCTGTTATATAATAACCTTTATAAACTTATAAAAAAGTTTTACCTTGTTTTGAGGGTTAAGAAAGTCATTTAGTGTTTTAAAAGATGCAGCACTTCATTTAACAGTCGCGTTGAATATATATATATATATCTGGATTTCGTTTTATTATCATATTACCGCTGAATTTGATGGCTGCATTCATGGCCTTGACAAACTCCGTGTACTTGGTCCTCATTTTCTTCCCTGACTGGTCCCTCCATCCCTTCCAAACCTCCAGTAACTCGCCATAGTCCCGACTGTTGGTGATTATATTCGTCAGTCCTATCAAGGATTCCACATTTTGTATACAATAAGTACAACAAGGAGATTCGATCCGTGTCAAATATTCTCTGATTTTGGAATACCACGGTGGGGAGAGAGGGGGGGGGGGTGAAGGGAGATTAATCATGAATTATCGTGAACTTACTAGTTTTCGTGGGGGGTTATTTTCGTGGTTTTTGACTGAGATATGAAGAGACCCACGAACTTATGTCCACCATAAAATGTAAGGAGATGGGTGAACTTAGCGTGCAAAAAGCCCACAAGCTTCATACATATAAAAATCATATTCAAATTGTGATTTTAGTATTTAGAGTAAAGTTCTCATCAGTGATTTTTGTAAAATCATGATAAACAAAAGGTTTTGAGGAAAATTTTTCGTTAAAATTGATTCTTGTATAAAGAAAAATAATGTGGTATCCATTGGGTTCGAACCCTGGCAATAAAAATCCTGAGTTGCATTCTCTACGGAGAATAGCACGCTAACCACTACGCTACACAAGTCTTGATGAAGAGTGGCATTTAAATCATGTTTGTGATATGACCATTGACTTAAGGGACTTCAAGTATTTCTTGAAAAGATACGAAAGTTATGTCATAAACTTATATTTTTAAGGTATAGTGGGTCATTGCTCCATAATTTTGGAAACCAAAATATGTATGTTTTTATGCAAACTTTGAGGACTACCTTTCAAAAAAATGGAGAGAAGACCCACTCATGACGAAAAATAGTGTTACAGTGTGAAAAAATGACTCGTTTTGTCCTCTTTCGTGTGTGTGTAATATTTCATAGGCAAATAACTTCAATTTTCATGAGATTTGTGCAAGTTGTAGAGATTTTACATAAAGTCTACTTTACTGTTAGATGAAATATTAAGGAAAATTTTGATATAATTAAGATTTAATTTTTCACTTTCATGTTTGTTGCGCTATGGGCTTATCTCTCGTCATGTTCACCCATCTCCTTTTCAACAGATTCACTACTCAAGAATTCTTCATCCACAATATAAAATCTCCACGAACAAGCATTTTTTTCCCTCAAACCAAGAAAATTTGACTCATCAAAAATATGTGATTTTTCCAGGAATCATTACCCCCCTCCCCTCGCAATCACAACTGAGTTGGAGAGATTCAGTTTCTGACACGAAAAAGAAAAATGAAATATGAAATTATAAAAGAAAAAAGAAAAAAAGTTACCATTGTTCATACTTTGATGGGCATATACATATTTTTATATATGTGGATTACATTTGCCGTCTTAAGTTTTCTACAGTAAAACCAATATACATGTATGTAGTATGAAGTTACAAAACTACGTAAAAAAATTGAACTTATACAGAACTTCAGATTTCTCTTGCATATTTCAGTTTCGTTGTGCCAGAAATGAACTCATGTGGAAAACTACTATACTTAACCTTCATAGTGTACAATGTATGTCTTTTGGCAATTTATGACCTTTAATGGAAAATTCACAGAAAAAAACAAGGTTCAAAATAATTTTAAGACAGATTAGATAATGTAAACCAACAATTACTCGCGTCATCTTTCATTCGCCTTTAGACAGTTAAAAATTTCAATACGTGTCGATTACCGGGTAATTTTCGTGTCTAAGGATACACGCATTCTCTACAGAGATGGTTCATGGCGAATTAAAGTAGGTCGAGAAACTCAATGACTTTCTGTTGTTATGATACAGATGTGGTCTCTTTTATTTCGAATTCAGTACTTAGTGATTATATCTATGTATTTAAAAGTTTTTAGGTCTAAAAGAGGTCTACACATACCTGGTTCCAGCTGCAGGCACCCCCTTGATTCTAAGCACACCTCTCCTTTACTGTAAATCCCTGTAAGATCCGCCTCCAGGTTGGTTATCTATGATATATAATTTTTTTTCTTGTACAAATAATATACATGTACACTTAAAATGCTATGGTTCAGGGTCCAGAATGGGGTTAAATTCCTCATATGGAAAAATATTATACACAATTAAAAATTATAGATATCTATACCTTATCAACAGTATTTGAATGATCAAATTTCTAACATTGTCCAAGTCTATGACCCATAGGTCAGGCATAAGGTGGACTAAATTGGTCATATAGACAAGTATTGAAAGGATATTACATCTTTGAACTTAAATTAACTTAAAGATATTTAGCTCACAAAATATCTGCATTGATAAAAGGAACTGCTAGCCCTGAACATAAAAAATGATAAATTATGTTCATAACCCTTGAGTCAAGGAGTAGGGCTCGATCAAAGTTTGGCATAATTGGTAAAATATTGAAAATATATTCTATACAGTATATCTTACTAGCTGTATGAATATAATAAAGACTGTAGGACCCTCACCAAACTGGGTAAGAGTCATGTACCTTTTTATCCTTTCTTTACCTTCGAATAGCAATATACGTAAAAAAACAAATTTTGCACTCGAAAACTATCCCTGTCATATCTTTCCTTTCAAATATTAACTCAAAATTCCTTCCCCAAAATAACAAAAACAAAGAAAAAGACATAAAACCTTTCTAAAACCTTTCAATCATATCTTATTTTAGAATTTTACAAAAGCTACACCTGTTTATTACAGACTTTGGGGCTAGATTCTGGGCAATACTGAGTAAGGTCAGATTCGTTTCAACAAAGGTCGTTACATAAAGATGCTCGTAACATGCTTGTCATATCTACGGTAGGTACAAGGTGTCGTTTAATAAAAATATAAGGTTATTGCAGTGCGTTTTCCTTTACAAAATCATAACAAAAATTAAAACGTAAAAAAATCCGCATGAAATTTAGAACATGCTTCTGAAGTCCACATAATTGCAGGAAAATAAAATCATTAAATAAATATTATAAATAATAGAGTTCTTATGTTCATTTCTACACTATCCTTCATCAGTAAATATTTTATCAGTAAGATTTTTACAATGCCTTATAAATTCTGTGATTTAAACTGAGAGTTTAGATTAACAACCCTGGAATACCTTGTGAAAATTTCATGTCCACTATTCGCATACTAGTATATAATAAACTTTTATAACGTGTCTGGCATCTGTCCATAGGAATAAAATAATTCTTCTTAGGTACACCTAAACTAAAATTTACTCCGTGATATATGTCATTTACTCCTTCAAAAAGAGATTAGAACATCGTTTTTTCTATAAATACATAACACAAGTACATATACATGTGTACTCCAATGCACGACAAATTGTGCATGTAGCTATGTATAATTAATAATACAATTATTTTCAATTTTATAATCTTAATGTAATATTTTTATGAAACTTCGATTCGAAAAATTTGACACTTTTTCATATAAGATACTTGTTGAGGTATTAAATCAACAATTTCATTTAATAAAATAATGTTCACATGTACTTACTGCTTTCATCTGTTCGCTGTCATTGGTTGCAGCAAAGCCAATGCTAGTTATTTTCTTGAATAGTCTTTTAAGTGTTTCGTTGGTGAAACTCTCATGATTGAATCTACTAGCGTTTGCTGCTATTTCTTTGTCAAACTCGGCAATCTTAAGACTTGAATTGCTCTGAAATAAAGAACATTTTTTTCAAAAATAAAAACAAGATGCATTAATCAATTTGGTGTGTTTATTTCAGAGACCATGATCATGTGACGTGTGAAATTTTAAAACAATTAGGTAAAAACCAGAGACCGAGAAAAATGCGTCAATATATTCTGAACTGCACTTGTATATACCAGTATACTAATGTATTTGTGAATAAATTACGTAAAAAGTTGTTTTATCATCTTTTGCGAGAAACAAAAAAGGACTTGAAAGACATTTAGTGAAGTAAATAGCAAATGCATTTGAAATCAATTTATGATTCATTGTGCATATGTTACGCCCTGCATCAAACAATTCTTCTGAATTTCAAGTAGGCCATTCCAAGATTTTTTTTGTTTAGTGTCCATAATAAATTCGAAAATCTACCCTTGTGTCCAGGAGAAACACGCAAACCAAAAGCGGAAAAACACAGCATTTCTTAAAGAAAAAATTGTAGAATTTTTCCTCCTCATTTGAGACTTTTCCTTGCATTGCACTATTAGTAATTAAGTTAAACTACTAGTATATTGGTTGAAAAAAGTTACACTTAGAGAGAGAGAGAGAGACGCCGATCCCAAAAGAGTACATTGCGTTTCTCAGATTTATTTTTGGTTCATTTGCGTTTGTTTCTAATTTCATACCCTCAAAACGAATCCATCCGTGGACGTTAAACTTAGAAAAAACTTGAATTGTTCTTACTTGCTACTCATTCTACAATTTTGTCTACGTATTTACAAATGGATTCGCATTAATTAAATGTGTTATGACATTTCCTAGAAAACATCTTTTAAAAAAAAATAGTAATAAAAATTGAAATCCATATTCTAACATATTGTATTTATTGTAAATATAACACCTACCATGACCTCAAGGTTGTAATCTGTGATATTTGTGTAATAATTCCAGGCCGCTTTTCCATTCTCATTCCACAAAATTCCAACCGCTCTATCATACTCATCAGCAAATATCCAGCCATCAGCTTCACTCAGCTGAGTCTGTGCCCCCCGAAACAGTACCCCCAGAAACAAAAGCCTCCACATCGTGTTGGGCAGATAACGTATCTGGTAGTCGACACTGGTCCTCTCTCACCTGCTTTACCAGGTGGGTCGCTTCTGACATAGGTATGTTTACTGCTCGATGCATGCGTCGTAATTATTTATGGTTATTTTGTGGTAGTGCTATAATTCATTGGTAGTTAAATAGTCCTTAAAGTGTCCTAAACTGACTATCAATATGATCGTGTTTATATTGTTAATACTAGCTTACAAATTACCATTTTGTGAAAGCTCTTGCATAAATTTTGTTCGTATATATGTTAAAATGTTCATATTTGCTATGCAGACAAGAAATGAAAACAAAAAGAACAGTGTGACAAAATGAATGCATTTTTTATTTATGATATATGATGATGATTAGTGTACTTAAGCCTTTTATTAATTTTTTGGTGGACACTGCAATGGCAGATGCATCTTTGGCCTAGAGCAGAGTCAAGGATTTGGTATTAATCCCAGATCTGTTTTGTCCTCATATCAAAATCTTACGTTTTAATGCAATTTCTGTGAATGTTTTCGCTTAAATTATGTAACCTATTAAATGGTATCAATTTCTTTCTTTTGATATACAGATGAGGAAAATAGAATATAGAAAAATGACGGTAATGTACAATGATATACACGTGCATTTATAAATAATGATTGTACAAAAATTGGTCCATATTATCTTTAAGCTCGTATACTTTGCCATTAAAATTTTATGGATATTTATGAGAACATAATTATGACTTTATGGTAGGCCGAAATAAACAGTACTTCAGATTGATAGTATGTGTGGTAAATAAATCCAGACTATTGACAAGGTGAAGTATTGTATTCTTTGATATTAATCTTCAGTTTAGCAGAATACATATAAAATATTATTTTATAAAAGGTTTAACTTACTCTTATTTACTTGCATGCATGTACAGCGTGATAGGAAGATGTATATTCTGTTTCGAAATTTCTTTTCTTTCCAAAAATAAATTGATATTAAAATACAGTACATAAGAAAAAAAAGAAAAGAAAGAAAAGAGAAAAATATCTCAGACACCTGTTTTGTTTACTTGTTAAACTGTCCTTCTTAATTTAAGGCTACGATTGAAAAATCATCTTATCGTCCCAGGTCAGAGTTATGTTACCTATTCCACGATAGATTCTGCTGCTGTTATTATTGTCAAATTAAATGGAGAGCCAGTCTTGCCAAGGATGATGCCTGAGAACCTTTTTATTCCTACCAGGGAAAATAGCATTTAATTTATCGAGATTTTCACTGCAATGATGTGTTTTATTGTGACAAGATTCTCCCGTTCACTTGTAAGATAAGTTTAGTGCATTCGGGGACAGATTTGCTTTTTTTTTGCATTGGTTGATATATGATCGTTCTCAAAATCCCTCTTTTTGGGCATGTATGTATAACTCTTTTCTATGACTCTTGAGAATGATTTTGCATATCAACTGGGAGACGTAAACTGCATATATATGCAGGTGATGGATATACTGCTGCATAAGTATGGGTCCAGCCTTACTGTTAAAAGTAATACCATGTATTTAAATTCATTTTAAGAATAAAATGGAAAAGTTTCCCCACTAAGTATCTTGGATGATCTTGTCATTTCTGTTTAGGTCGAACTTACTTATTAGTTTTTACCTTGTAAAAGATGATATTTATTTTAACACTTCTCTTGAAAAAATGCTTTGGTGGGAGCATCTAAGCTTAATCAACAACTTTGGCGGGGTTAAGGAAGACATTTTTCTTGCACAAAGCTTAACCTATTGTCTCTGATCATTTGCATCAAAGCAGTGTCGTATGGCAGTTGAATGCAGTGAAATAACATTTAACTGTTTGTGGTCTTGAACCAGGTAGGAAGTGAAGGCAAAGAGGATGAATATACCGAACAGTGATCTCAAAAACCTGCAAAGAATACGAAACTGTGAAGCCATAAACACGGATTCATGGAAATTCCAGAGGTGGTCACATATGCCGTGAGCTTTGTGTGTTGATCAGATTGACGAAACATTTCATTGTCAGTATGAAAAACACAGGCTTAAGAATTGGTATGAAACAAGTCAGCCGAAATATGACTCTATGTTAAGTTATCTTTGCTAACAAGGCAATAATAACAACCAACGAATTAACGGAAATTGACTTTAAATGAGTTTGTTGAGATTCCTGTAATATCAACTTATCTGACAGTAGTCTGCAAGTTAAAAGACTGATCGTGATCGGAGTGTGCTCTTTACTCTTAAGTATTAAATAAGCTGGGAGATGTAAACACTTTTATGTAGATGCTAGCGGGATATTACTCTATAAATCAGAAAACTTACCGATGAAAAGTTGAAATTATCTCGTTTGTTGTACAGTTTAGTTGTTAGATGACCCGTATCTTCCGTGTTACAACAGATAAGCCTAGTTTGGCATTGCATGCATGGTGAATGTTGCAAAAATTGTAGGAAATTTTCCTTCTTTAAGTAAATTAATTCATTGTTAACTTTTTAATTATCATACTATAATTTAACAAAACTTCTTGCTCTTGAAAAAAGACTTATTACTCAATATTACTTTTTAAAAGATGTCATCAAGGAATCATATGAATTAGAGTTACCTCTCTTGGTCCACAAAAATTGTCAAGAATATCATTCTTGTCCCTCCAGTCTAGATGATAGTCTTCCGGAGAAGGAATATATTTAGAATTTTTTTAGAAAGTGTTTTGCTATCTGCAGATCTGTAGCGTTATGGTTTTGTATATTTGTCTTTGACCATAACGCTACAGATCCCCTAATGCAAAAAAGGTGCAAGTTACGGCGCAACATTTTTTGCGCACTTTTGGGGAGAATTTCTCCTCTTTCCAGCGTCGTTCAATTAACTACCTTTCACTCCCTAATTCTAGGCACATTATTTAACTAATCTGTATATTTTATCCATCTACCTACCCTTTATAGACGTCTCTACAAGTGATAAACTCGCTTGATTAAAATCATATGTTAGATTGCTGAAAATTGACGTCAAGCGAGTTTATTGCCTGTAGAGACTTCTATAAATGGTTGGAAGGTGGATAAAATATACATATTGGCTACAGAATGTGTTTAGAATTAGGGAGTGAAAGGTAGTTGATTGACCAATGCTATAAAGTGGAGAAATTCTCCCCAAAAGAGCGCAAAAATATAAAGTGCATCTTTTTGCATTACGGCATCTGTACCGTTATGGTCAAAGACAAATAATATAAAAAGATAACGCTACAGATCTGCGGCTAGAATTTTTTCAAACTTTAGAAAATTTCAAATTCATAATTTTTTTTTTTTTTTTTTTTTTTGCTTTTCTTAATCTTGTATTGGAATTATTTTTAACTTTGGTATGAGATATGTCATAGTGAAAAGTAAATAATTGATATCAAGGAGGAAATTAGAAGTAGAATTTATGCTCATGATTAAAGGACGTGCCGCTATATTCCAGCACAAGCAAATATTAATCTAGCTTCCTTTACTCCATGTTATATACAGCTAAGCACGACTCGTAAATACGCATACGCCATATTCCATTAGATTATCTACGATATCAGCAACAGGGTATACCCTTCACATTCGTCTGGCTGCTTTATTGTCGCAGGTATTGAATGGCGGTGTAACGTTGAATATTGACCCCAGTTGAAAATTGACCCGGGGGTCATTTTTCAACGTTGAATATTGAACCAGGGGTGTTTTTTCTCCGTTGAAAATTGGTACCAAAAGTCGTTGAATTTATACCCGGGGTCATTTTTCAACAGCTTGATATTTTGTTTTCTTATCCTCGATGACCTCAACAAGTTGAAAATAGACCCTGTTGAATATTGACCCCTCATCAGAGTTTGAACATTCTTTGAACTTGGAAGCTGTTTTACGGGATTTATCAGTATCTCTATATTTATATTTCGGTTTCAATTTTTTTCCCTTTTCAAGAATAATATTAATAAACCTATCATCCCGTGTATATATATGTACATTTTGATCAGTACACGATTTCAGTTATCTTCAAGCATGACAACTTTATTTTTTGACAATGCTTTCTAAAATCCACATCCATAAATAACTACAAAACTATGGATAGGGCATAAAACAACAATCCTGGAAATCTGGTGTCTAGAAAGTGAGCCCTATATAATATTATATTGATCAGGTGGGAAGAACATCCAATCTAGTCAAAATCAGTATAAAAATTAACAAATTTAAAAGCCTAAAAATTAGAGACACATCGGTTAAAATGAATCCAATGATAGGTTATATTTTTGAAAAGAACAATATAGCGATCATAACATGTAAGTAATGCTGACTTTAAACAAGGTTGGTGAAATTCCTGTAACAAACTTATCTGTCAATAGCCTGCCTCGGCCTAAAAATCGATCGTTTTCGGAGCATAACCTTGAGAATGAGAACTAGAGTTAGAGTCTGGGATGGACTAGAAGCTGCACTTCCCGCCATTTTTTATATCAACAATTAAAAAAACGTCGTCCCTGCAACTTCTTCTGATCTAAACAACTAAAAAGCGCTTTCCTCTTCAAAGAGAGAGAGAGAGAGAATCCTAAAGTTTTTCTCGGAGGCGGGGGTATCGTGTCAAAACCCATTGAAATATTGTGACAAAATTCATAAACAAAAAAAAATAAATGAAACAAACAAACAAGCAATTGAAACGTGGAAAGGGAAACTAGCCAATGTTGAAAACCAAACCATGTTTCAATAATTGGATGGAAGGGCCGCTTCAATGTTATATTTTGGCTACTTTATTACAAAAAAATTAAATAACGCTGAAAGTCGTGGTTGTGTATTTAAGGCAAACCTTTTTTTGATTAAAAACAAACTACAAAAATAAAGAAAACAGCCCTGTCACAAATACATAAAAAAACAAAAAAATAACAACAACAACAAAAAAAACATTCTTCAAATATATATGGTACCCCCCCCCTTTATATCCTCTAACTAAAAAAAATATATTTATTAATTGTGAGGTTCGTTCTTGAACTGAGTTACTAAACCTTTTATTTTGAAAAAATCCGGTTTTCAAGTTGGACATTTAAGTTATTTATGTTGTGCATAACTAAATAAGCATTAAAACGAACGTGCATCATGCGTTTACATGTATAACTCTCACCAT